GTGTTTGCTATCCCGTGGTGGTTGCATTGACTCCATTGTGACCAGGGAGGCGTGGGGGCTCCTGGGCAGCTGGTGCGTTTGGAGGGCGGGGCTGGACCAGGGCTGGGCAGCTGGCGCCTCGGCTGCCCCTCCCATCTGGCTGTGACCCTTGGCAAGTCTCCCCGCCCCCCATGCCCCCAGGCCTGAGCTGCCACCTGGACTGAAGCTTATCTCTGACCTTTGGCATTCCTGTGTCTGGACAGTTTGCAAGAGCGGCCTCTGCCCAGGCTTACGGGATCGCGCCTCCTCTGTAGGCAGATAAGCCGTCACTGTCAGGAAACTGGAGGGCTGTGAAAGGATGAGGAGGGGGCTTCCCTGATGGTCCACTGGTTAAGAATCTGCCTGCCTGGCAGGGGACACGGGTTCGATCCCTGGTCTGTAAAAACTCCACATGCCTTGGGGCAGCTGAGCCTGTGCGCACAGCTACTGAAGCCTGGTGCGCTAAGAACCTGTGTGCTGCAGCAGGAAATCCTGGTCTGTGAGAAGCCCGTGTGTTGTGACTCGAGAACAGCCCCCGCTCTGCAACTTGAGAGAGCCCGCATGGCACTGAAGACCCAGTGTAGCCGGAAATTAATTAATTAATTAAAAATAAATTTAAAATGCTAAAATGACAGACAAGGGACTGCAGTGGCCATTTGCTCTGGTCTCGCTGACTCCTTGGGAACCCGCTGTGAGTTTTCTTTTCATTATCCGCATTATGAGAAAACTCCAGTTCGGTGAGATGGCATCTACCCTGCCCTATAAACACGGTGCTTCTCAAAGTGTGCTCCGTGAGCCTCCTACTTCAAAATCCCCTGGGAGCTCAAAAACTTGCGCGTTCTCAGGCCCCATCATGGGCCAGCATCTTCAGAGTCTTCAGGGTCAGCTCATGGATCTAGAGTTTAGGTCTTCCAGGTAGTTTTACTGCAGTTTGTAGACCAGGAGTCCAGGGAAGAGACCTCCTGAGTTGGCCTTCCATCACACTTCTGGTGTTTTTTTGTTTTTTTTTTTTTAGTTGGAGTATAGTTGCTTTACAGTGTTGTTAGTTTCTCCTGTACAACAAAGTCGATAAGCTGTATGTATACACATACGCTTCCCTCTTGGACCTCCCACGCACCTCCAGTCCCACCCCTCTAAGTTATTACTGAGCCCCGAGCTGGGCTCCTTGCGCTATATGCCAGCTCCCCACTAGCTGTTTTATACACAGCAGTGGATACATGTCAGTCCCAGTCTCCCAAGTCATCCCACCACCCTCAGTTCAGGCATTTCAGCTCAGTCGTGTCCGACTCTTTGCCACCTCATGGACTGCAGCATTCCAGACTTCTCTGTCCATCACCAACTCCCGGAGAGTGCTCAAAGTCATGTCGGTGATGCCATCCAACCATCTCACCCTCTGTCCTCCCCTTGTCTTCTGCCTTCAGTCTTTCCCAGCATCAGGGTCTTTTCCAGTGAGTCAGTTGTTTGCATTAGGTGGCCAGAGTATTGGAGTTTCAGCTTCAGCCCTTCCAGTGAATATTCAAAACTGATTTCCTTTAGGATTGACTGGTTTGATCTTGCAGTCCGAGGAACTCTCAAGAGTCGTCTCAAACACCACAGTTCAAAAGCATGAATTCTTCAGCACTCAGCTTTCTTTATAGTCCAACTCTCACATTCATACATGACTGCTGGAAAAACCATAGCCTTGACTAGATGGACCTTTGTTGGCACAGTAATGTCTCTGCTTTTTAATATGTTGTCTAGGTTGGTCATAGCTTTTCTTCCAAGGAGCAAGCATCTTTTAATTTCATGGCTGCGGTCACCATCTGCAGTGATTTTGGAATCCAAGAAAATAGTCTGTCACTGTTTCCATTGTTTCCCCATCTATCCCACCACCCTACCCCCTGTCAACACACTTGTTTGCCTCTCTATTCCAGCCCTGCAAATAGGTACATCTGTACCATTTTTTCTAGACTCCACATATATGTGTTAGCATGTTATATTTCTCTCTTTTCTTCACTCTGTGTGACAGATTCTTGCTGTGGGACTTTGTGTACATTGCTTACTGATGCTGAGCTTCAGTGTCCTCATTTGTAACCCGGGGATGGCAGCAGTTTCTGTCTCACAGGACCGTCTCGGGTACCCAGGGACTTAATAAGTACACCACGTTGACCCAGCACTTTCCTGGCAGCATCTGTGGTGGCCAGGCAGAGGGGTCTCTTGGTTGGGGAGGGAGGGGGATAGTTCTTCCCAGAGCAGAATGCAAAATGACCAGGCTCTTTGTTCCAAAAGGCTGACCAGCTCATCAGCTCAAAGTACAAGCAACATAATTGGGCCTCAATTATGTGTTGGGTTTTACGGTTGGGAAAAGTAGGGGGTTAGTGCTGGAAACTCTCCTTGGGCCTGCCAGCGTATCCTTCATGTGTATGTGTGTGTGCGCGCGTGCACTGCACCAAGCAGCATGTGGAATCTTAGTTCCCTGACCAGGGATCGAACCTGCACCCCCTGCATTGGGAACTCGAAGTCTTAACCACTGGACTACCAGAGAAGTCCCCCTTCCAATGTGTAGAGTGCTAAGAGGAAGTGGTGAGGAGTTGGGAATTTGAGGCAAAAGACTTGGAATCCAGTGTGATTCCAGTCTGAACGTAAGAGTTCAGAGAGGCCTTCACTTCTCCAGACCACAGCTGCCCTGCGTGGTTCCTGCAGTAGAGTTCAGGCTCTGGACAGTGGGCAGGACTTTGCCCTGTGAGTTGCCAGCGCAGCCCGTGTTTCCGCTCTGGTTCTAGACTAACAGGCCTCCTAGCTGCAGATTCCCTCGTAGACTCCCACACTGGCACCTTGTAATACTGCCTTACCGCATCAGGAGACCTTGTGACGAACAACAGCCTTGGGAACTCCATCATTCCTATTCGCTAGAGGGATTTCCCATTTTATGTGCTGGGGAGTCCTGCTGAAGGGCTTCCTTCAGCATGAACAGCCAGGTAAAAAGCCTGGCCCCCCCCAAAAAGGCTGGTATGTGTTCTTCCTCTTGAACAGTGAGGACAAGGTAAACTGATTTTCCTTTTCTCTTTGGCCACTGGGAGGCTCAACACTAAATGCACAGCCCATGTCCGGTAGCTGCCTGAGGACCTTATGACCTGTTGATGTGAACCCGTCCTTCCTTTCTGCTTTAGATGCTTTCTTCAGATTTTTTCCCCCTCTGCTCCTGATTTTTAGCATTTATATTTCACTACCTTCTTTTCTTTGTGTTTCCTTGCCCTTTGTGGAGCCAGGCTGGGGGTATGTAAAAATGCTCACCCTGTAAACACACATGAAGCTGTCTTCACAACTGCTTTGTTGGCATGGTGCATTTTTTTTTTTTTTTTTTTTTTGCTTCCTCAGCTTCATGAAACTGTTAGCGTGATTGCAGTCCACTGGTCAGTTACGAGATGCTTGGGGCTGGGCACGGTGGCTGCTTTTTGCTTGTTTTTCTCTTCTTATCAGCTGCCTAGAATTTTTAAAATAATTTCCCTCCAAATCCATTAGTCACTGAGAGCACAGGCGGTACCCTGGTGGATAGATGTGTGTGTATATCTTCTTCTTCCTTTCCTTCTAATTTATTTCTTTAGCATTGCACAAGTGTAACCTGTAGAATCAAAAAAATGGTAACAAGTGCAAAGGGAAAAAAATTACCAAGAATTCTACCAGGATACCATTTTTCAGTATTTTGTGATTCATCCTTCTTGACTTTTTCTCTGTTTATGTTTTTCCCACAAAAAATTCGAATGTAACTATGCATAGTGTTTTTTCATTTTCATTTAATGGTAGATAACTAGTATCTTTCCTTGTTATTACATATGCTACAACAATGAAAGATACTTGATATTTATATGATACATACATGCACATAGCTTTTTGTTTTTTTTTTAAAGCATAGAAAGACTTATTGTGAAAAGCAGTAATTGTTTCAGTCTTCCCCAGCCGCAGGCCTGGGTAAAAGGGGCAATTTTAATCATTTAGACTTCTTGTTACAGAGTGGTTCCCTCCACTTAAATAAAATGTTTACTCCAAGATTTCTTGGTTTATTGGATTTACTGACTTGCCCCTAAGAAAAGTAGAAGTTTCTATCACTTCCATCACCCTTCCCCACTTCCTCCAAACATTGTCTGCCTCTGTATTTGGTTACCTTTGCAATTTAAGATTTAAGTAATATACTTAAGCCTCAAATTCTTGTTCTACAAACCATAGTCTCTTGTGGCCCTTATTCTCAGAGGCCCTTCCTCTCAAAGGAAGATACGGAGACTGCCTTTTCCTTGATTTCCTTTCACCCCCCAGCATCATAGTGCTTGTCTGATGTAGATTCAAGTTTCTGAGGTTAAGGTTATTAGCATTTACATTCTGTTTAATAACCACAAATCGCCCATGAGTGACACGAAGCAGTGCTGAGAACTGAAGGCTGGCGCCTCATGTTAGCATTCCTCTGTGAATGCCCACGGGAGTGGGCTGTGCTTACAAGTCCTTTTCTTTACGTCTAATGCCACTCAAAGGAGAATGTTAAAGAGACTTTGGTTTCTTACATTCTGTTAGATGCTCAAAATCCATCACTTTCTATTTCAGTTCACTTAATATTTTGACCACGCCTTTCTTAGATAACTTTGCTTGTTTGTCTGGAGTTGCTAATACAGCATCATTTCACCAGCTGCATAGTATTCTGACATAGAAAGTGTTGAGATTTATTTTCACCCAGCCCCCTGTGGTTGGATTTGAGGTGATTTCAGTCTTTCATTAACATGAATGGTGCTGTAACTAATGTTCTTTGACATTCATCATTGTGTGTTTGTTTCATACATAATGTTTGAGAATCCGGGAGTGCTGCTCCTCTTAAATCTGATGGCCAGTCCTCAGCCCCATGCACCCACTGCCTTGCTGATCTACCTTCAACTGCATCAGTCAGTTCTAGAGGTTGGTGTAAGAGCGTTTTCCTGGAAGGAGTGGCCCCCAGGTAATGTCCATCATCCTCTCTCCAGGCTCTGAAAAGCGGCCATTCCTCAAATTTGAAGCTGAAAACATCTTCAACTACACAGCCCTCCTGCTGAGCAAGGATGGCAGGACTGTGTACGTGGGTGCTCGAGAGGCCCTCTTGGCACTCAATAGCAGCGTCAGCTTCCTGCCAGGCGGGGAGTACCAGGAGGTCAGATGATGCTCAGGGGTAGGCTGGGTGGAGGGTGCCGGTGGGTGGGTGGGTGAGTGGGGGATGGAACTTCTGGGTCCCAGGATAATGCAAATGGGGGAGGGGCAAAGAATCGAGAGGCGGAGCCTCTGTTCCCAGGTGCACACTGACCCTTCCCTTTCTGGTTCCCCAGCTGCTGTGGCCTGCCGATGCAGAGAGAAAGCAGCAGTGCAGCTTCAAGGGCAAGGACCCGGAGGTGAGCCAGCACCTGGAGGTGACCTGGGCTGGAGGTGGTAGGTCTGGGTCCAGGATGGAGGCCAGAGGCGGGAGCAGATGCTGCCAGCTGTGGTGGAAAGGACATGGGCTTCTGAGATGGCCAGACCTGGGTTTGTGTCTCGACTCCGTACTTATTATTTCTGTGACCTTGGACAAATGGATTTGCCTCTCTGAGCCTTAGTAAAATGGGGGTAAGGATGCCTGTCTCGCTGCACTCACCATGAGGATTCAGTGAGCTAATACATATAACGAGGGCCAAACAGACGTCAGCTTCCAGCAGGAGCAGTGGTTGGGTGGGGGTGGGAGTCTGTCCCTTTGAGGATACTGTTTGATGTGGCAGGCCTGACATATCTCAGCTTGGTTTTGGCCAGACCGACGAGTGGGGACCAGTCAGCCCAGAGTTCTTTGGGAAGACTCCCCACCATTCCCAGAGGCCTCCTGGTCCTGAGTGCAGCAGGGGGCAGCTAAGGTGAAGGCAAGAGACACCAGTCTTGTGGCCAAGACACAAGTTCAGGGAATTTCATGGGGTCCAGTGGTTAGGACTCCGAATCCCTGGTTGGGTAACTAAAATCCCATAAGCCAAGTGGCACGACCCCCCGCCCCCCAAATTGTTTTTTAAAACACAGGTTCAAGTCCTGGCTGCTTTTGATTTCTTTTATTCAACAGAAATGTGTTAAGTACTTACTCTGTGCCTGGGTGCTTTGAGACACTGGTTATTATCGTTGTTCTTGAATCACAAAGTTGTGTCCGACTCTTTGTGACCCTATGAACTGCTGCATGCCAGGTTTCTCTGTCCATCACTATCTCCCTGAGTTTCCTCAAATTCATGTCCATTGAGACAGTGATAACATCCAATCATCTCATCCTCTGTCGACCCTTTCTCCTCTTGTCCTCAGTCTTTCCTAGCATCAGGGTCTTTTCCAGTGAATTGGCTGTTCGCATCAGGTAACCAAAGTATTGGAGCTTCAGCATCAGTCCTTTCAATGAATATTCAGGGTTGATTTCCTTTAGGATTGACTGGTTTGATCTCCTGATTATTATATCATTGTGAAAAGGAAGAAATCAGTCTTGTTTTAAGGGTGGTCAGGTTACACTTCCTTTAGAAAGAGACATTTAAGCCGAGATTAGAAGGAGGGGTGAGGGGTTTGACGTAAAGAACAGGACTGTGAATGTCACTCTGAGTGAGGTATTTGGGGAACCGCTGACAGGCTGAGCAGCGCAGTGACGTGGTCTAGTGTGGGTTTTCAGAAAGTCGCTCTTACCACCGTGGTGGGGAGCAGGCTCCTGGGGGCAAGGATAGAGGGAGACCAGTGAGGGGCGAGAGGGGATGGTAGCCCGGACCAGGGTTGGACCAACAAAGGGAGCAAGAAGTCTCGGTCAGACCCTGGACGTATCTTGAAGATGGAGCCACCAGGATTCCCTGATGGAAGAACCAGGGTGGGGTTGGTATAAGAGGGGAGTCAAGGATGCTGTGAGGTTTGGGGCCTGAGAAGATGGAGTTGGCATCTATGAAAGTGGGGAGACCCTGGAGGAGGCAGTTTTGGGGGAACAGTCAGAAGCTCAGGAGATGCCTGTTAGGACACCCTCTCAGAGGCAATCCGCGAGTCTGGAGTCCAGGGTTCAGCGCTATGTGTTCCTCCTGTTCTGGGCTCAACTTCCTCACCAGGTGGGGTTAAGACAGCTCAAAAGGGAAATGTTCTGTGCCTTCACCCCAGACTGAAGTGAAGTTTCCCAGTCACAGAGCTAACTTAGCCCCAGGGTCCCCTCCTACACATGCACACGCGCGCACACACACGCACACAAACGCACACATGCACACACACGCTCCATGATCCTCTACTCCAGGAGGTGCTGTGCCTTGGGTCTGGTGGGGGGGTGCTCAGAGGCGCCCCCTGGTGCCTGTCTGTGCCTGACAGCCTCCTCCTCCCTCTAGCGGGACTGTCAAAACTACATCAAGATCCTCCTGCCTCTCAACAGCAGCCACCTGATCGCCTGCGGCACAGAGGCCTTCAGCCCCGCGTGCACCTACATTGTGAGTACCCCACTGCACCCCGGGCCGGCCCCCAGCTGGCCCAGGAAGTAGCCGTCTTTCTGTCCCCAGGGAACTGGTCTGCAGCGCTGACCGCTGGTGAAGGGCAGGGCCCTGGTGGGAGGCTTCTGGGAGGCCAAGGGCCCTGAGAGCCCCGGGACCCTGCCCCAGCCCTGATGAGTGGGTCTCCCTGCAGGGGGCGGGGAGAGGACGGACTCATAGGATTCCCTGGGCACACAGATCCTGGCTGACCCACGATCACATTCTCTCACTTCCTCCAGCTCTCGCTCAATCCCCACTAGCCCACCTCATCCACCCTCCTCATCACACGCACACCCTTGCATTTCTGCCCTTTGCATGACTTACCGGAGAGTGGCATTTTCAGGGCGTGGGTCAGAGCAGCCAGGTTCCGAGTCATTCGTTCCTGGGTTTGAACTACATCATTGCCCTTTCCTGGCTCACGTCGCCTTTCTGAGCCTCTTTTCTGCCCCATGGGACAGCCACCATGAGGGGTCACAGTGAGGCGCTGTGGGGACTATGCCCCGGGGCCAGGATGGGGAAGAGGCCCTCGGGCCACTGCCCTCACTCTAAACACCTCCCTGCTCTTCGGCCAAGCTCACTCACTCTCTGGTGTGGCCCTGACCTCACCCCTCTGCTCCTCTGCAGGACGTGGAGAACTTCACACTCGCACAGGACAAGCAGGGGAACATCCTCCTGGAAGATGGCAAGGGCCGTTGTCCTTTTGACCCCAATTTCAAGTCCACGGCCCTGGTGGTCGGTGAGTGGGGGGCAGGGCATCAGAGGGGCCCGGGTGGTTGGTGCCATGCTGGTTCCCAGGGGTGCGGCAACCCTGGGCGGCTTTCAGTTCGGCTCTTCTTAGCTCTTATTCCCTCCTCTGTCCTCTTCAAGAAAGAAGGGCCACACTCAGGTCACTGCGGGCCCTGAGCGGGAAGGGGCTGTGCCCAGGGCCCATTCCCATGGGAAATGTTCTCTTGGCAGATGGTGAGCTGTACACGGCAACAGCCAGCAGCTTCCTGGGGAATGACCCGACCATCTCCAGGAGCCAAAGCCTCCGCCCCATCAAGAGCGAGAGCTCCCTCAACTGGCTTCGAGGTGAAATCCTCCCACCGCCCACCCAGGGGGCAGTCCCCAGGCCCCAGGGAGGGGGCCCTGTACCCCCAGCAGGGCCAGAGAGCAGAGTCTTCGCCTGTCTGGGATCTCTGGGCTGATGGTGCTCCCCTCTGGCTCCCCCCCCCACAGACCCAGCGTTTATGGCCTCAGCCCACATTCCCGAGAGCCTGGGCAGCTCGGAAGGGGACGATGACAAGATCTACTTCTTCTTCAGCGAGACTGGCCAGGAGTTGGAATTCTTTGAGAATACCGTGGTGTCCCGCATTGCCCGTATCTGCAAGGTGAGGGGGCTGGGCCACCCCAGAGGCTCCACGTCTGCAGCCTTCTCCTGTCCTCCAGAAGGAACAGCTTGGCTACTGGCATTTCTCTTTTTTTTCTTGAATTTTTGGCTGAGCTACATCTTCATTGCTTCCAGGCTCTTCTCTAGTTGCGGTGAGCGGGAGCTTTTTTTCTAGTTGTGGTGCACAGGCTTCTCGTTGCGGAGCCCAAGCTGTACTTGGAGCTGAGTAGTTGTGGTGCACAGGCTTAGTTGCCCTGAGACTTGTGGGATCTTCCTGGACCAGGGATCGAATCCGTGTCCCCTATATTGGCTGGTGGATTCATAACCACTGGGCCACCAGAGAAGTCTTCTCTTAAGTTAAAATGTCTGTTTTTTTCCTTATTTAAAAAAATGTGAAGACATAGCAAAGTACACACAAAAATCACAAAATAAAGAGGCAACTTGGTATGGTGATTAAGAGTGTCGACGCTGGAGCCCAGCTGCCTGGGTTCAAACCCTGCAGGTCGTGTGATCTTGGGCAATTTCCTTGCTGAGAAATCTGTTCAGTTCCCTCCTCTGTTCAGCATGTAGGGTGCTTAGAAATGTGCTGAGCAGCCACTAGATGGTGACTGTCGGTGTTAAAATCTCTTCATCCTTCCACAAGACGTGACCACTGTTAACAATTTAGAATGTTCCTTGCTAATCTTTATTCTTTTGCACATGTGTAGAGACGTACATATTCGTATTATGTAAAACCATATGCAAACAAAGAGATACTGTAATGCAACTCTTTAGCCTCCCTTTCTGCTCAGCAGTAAATCGTGAGATCTTTTCCTGTTTGTAGACAGACTTCCCTTCGTCCTTTTTTCTGGCTCCTTGCAATTAGGGAAGCACTGTCATTTACCTAGCCAGTCTTCTGGCAAGGGGGAACTGAAGGCTGCCACTTGAAGTCCGTTTTTTTTTTTTTTTTTAATTTATTGTTTATGTGAAATTTAGATTTAGCCAGAGGCGCTCTTTCTCTCTACGTATATATACACACACACATGTATTGGCCATGGGATGCAACATGTGGGATCTTAGTTCCCTGATCAGGGATTGAACCGGTGTCCCCTGCACTGGAAGCATAGCATTTTAACCACTGGACCACCAGGGAAGTGCCCTGTCTTCTTTATTTGAGATGAGCTCAGGCCTGGTGTTGTGTCTGTCAGGCCCTTCCTGGTGTCTGTCTCAGCCACTGCTGGGGAGGGGAAGCGAGGAGCCGTCCCTGAGCCCAGCCTCTCTCTCCCTCATGCAGGGTGACGAGGGGGGTGGGCGCGTCCTGCAGCAGCGCTGGACGTCCTTCCTGAAGGCACAGCTGGTGTGCCTGCGGCCTGACGACGGCTTCCCGTTCAACGTGCTACAGGACGTGTTCACGCTGACGCCCCGCCCCGAGGACTGGCCGGACACCCTCTTCTACGGGGTCTTCACACCCCAGTGGTGCGCCCCCCGGGACCTAGCTGGGAGCGGGCCGGGTGAGGGGTGAGTGGCTGGCCTCACTGGGAACCCCAAGGCTCCTGGGGCTCATTTAGCCAACTTCCTCGGTAGGAATGGGGGGACCATGGAGGGCTCTGCCGTCTGTGTTTTCACCATGAAGGACGTGCAGTCGACCTTCAGCGGCTTCTTCAAGGAGGTGAACCGCGAGACGCAGCAGTGGTACACAGTGACCCACCCGGTACCCTCGCCCAGGCCGGGCGCGGTGAGTGCTGCTCCCGGCCCCAGGGCAGCATGCTGGGAGGGCGGGTCCACACCCCACGCTGGGCTTGCTTGCCTTCTCTAAGTCTGTTGTCTCATCTCGAAAGTGGGGGCAGAACCCAGAGCTGCTTGTCCTTCCAAGTTCGACCTGACCGTGGCCATCAGGATGGCAGTGGGCTGGACAGGGCTGTCCCATCAGAGCACCGCCTGCCGTGAGCCTCTCTCCCGCCCCACCATGAGCTCCTCGTTGTTGAGTGGCTGGCTGTGGGCAAATGGTCCTCACCAAGCAGACCTTGAGAAAAGGATGTGGGTGCTGGCAGTTTCTAGGGGAGCTACTCCCTGGAAGCAGAAAAGAGGGGACAGGATTGTGGAGGGAGGGGTGGAGCCAAGAAAGTGGGGATCGGAGCTGCTGTGGGCGCCTGGAGCTGAGTCCCCGGGGACCCTGGGAGACTACATGGAGTACATCTCAGTGTTGTCCCACTGGGGTGTTTGTTACCAACTGCTGGGCCTCAGTGATCGAGGGTCACTCTGGGATGTTAATTCCTGGAGCTGCTACAGAGAATGTCCCTGGGCAGAGAGAATCAGGAGCCCTTGTGCTGTCGCTCAGTCATGTCCGACTCTTTGCGACCCCATGGACTGTAGCCCGGCAGACTCCTCTGTCCATGGGGATTCTCCAGGCAAGAATACTAGAGTGGGTTGCCATGCCCTCTTCCAGGGGATCTTCCTGACCCAAGGACTCGAACTGGGATCTCCTGCATTGCAGGCGGATTCTTTACCCGCTGAGCTACCAGGGAAACCCAGGAAGCCTCTGGCAATATGGCAGACTAGCTGCAGGCGCCCTTGTGGCCCCTACACTAGGACACCTTGCTCAGCCAGGGTTTCTTGGGAAAGGCACTCTGTCACTTCCTGCTGAAAGGATGCCATAGGAGCAGGAAGTGCGGTCATGCCCAGGGTAGGGGGGTGGGGGAACGAGGGGTGGTTGGTGGGCAGAGAGGGGGAAACCCTGGCATCCAGGGCCCATGGCGCCACATCCCTGGACCTGCAGATAAGCGTGTTGGCTCCACAGAACTGGAGAGCCATGCTGTCGCCTGGCTTCTGAGGGTGGGGGAATCCCTGCTGTCCACTGGGGAGGCAGGGCTTGGCAATCCCGGTGGGATCTGTAGAACACCCATCCTGCTGGCCACCCCAATGCCGCCCATCTCGAGCCAACGCCTTCTCCTTCAGTGCATCACCAATAGTGCCCGGGAGAGGAAGATCAACTCGTCGCTGCAGCTCCCCGACCGCGTGCTGAACTTCCTCAAGGACCACTTCCTGATGGACGGACAGGTCCGCAGCCGCATGCTACTGCAGCCCCAGGCCCACTACCAGCGCGTGACCGTCCACCGCGTGCCTACCCTGAATCGCACCTACGACGTCCTCTTCCTGGGCACTGGTAAGTGCCCACAGCAGGCTGGCTGGGGGTCGAGGGGGCATGGGCGGCAGGCTCCTCACAGGGCCTGAGCAATGTCCCTATCGCAGGTGACGGCTGGGTGCACAAGGCGGTGAGCGTGGGCACCACAATGCACATCATCGAAGAGCTCCAGGTCTTCCCGGCAGGACAGCCCGTGCGGCACCTGCTCCTGGACGCTGACAGGGTGAGCAGAGTGGGGAGTCTGGGCAGTGGGCTTGGGGTGCCCCGCCCTCCTGCCCCAGCCGGGTGGAGAGATCTAGGCTCCGGGCATGAGCTGTCGGAATGTGGCGGGGGGCGGGCCAGGTGCGTGAGAAGCGGCTCCCAGGAGGTGGCTTTGTGGGGCGCTGGAGCCGGGGCCTGCCTCCCATGCTGCGTGTCTCTTGCAGGGATTGCTGTACGCTGCCTCACACTCGAGCGTGGTCAAGGTGCCTGTGGCCAACTGCAGCCTGTACCAGAGCTGCGGGGACTGCCTCCTGGCCCGGGACCCGTACTGCGCTTGGAACGGCTCGAGGTGTGCATCCATCACCCTCTACCAGCCGGAGGTGGCCTCCAGGTGAGAGCTCGTTCAGGCCCATTCCCCTTGTCCCTCCTGGCGCACCCACCTCCAAGTGCCTCTGCTTTAGACCCTCTGGAATCGCCACACAGCCTCATTTGTGTCTGCTGTCTGGACATCATTTTTTTTTTTTAATAATTTTATTTATTTAGCTTTGACTGTGCTGGGTCTTTGTTGCTATGTAGCCTTTGCTCTAGTTGTGGCGAGTGGGGGCTACTCTCATTGCAGTGCACAGGCTTCTCCTTGCAGTGGCTTCTCTTGCTGGGGACCACAGGCTCTAGAGTGTGGGCTTCAGTAATTGCAGCTCTCAGGCTGTACCGCACGGGCTCAGGAGTTGTGGTGCACAGGTTGCTTCGCAGCAGGTGAGATGTTCCTGGACCAGGGATTGAAGCTGTTACCTCCTGCATCGGCAGGTGGATTCTTCACCACTGAGCCACCAGGGAAGCTCTGAGCATAATTATTAGTCAGCTCCTTTCCTGACTCTCAAAAGAGTTGTAGCTCCGACAGTAAATTGTGTTTGCCTTACCCATCTGTAAAGCAGGGACAGGATTTGGTAGTGAGTATGAAATGTCATAGCTGTGAAAAGATTTGCTGGAGACTGAATTGACACGTGAATGTAGTTAAATAACAGAAAATAAGGGCTCCGTAACAGTCCATTAACAGACCCATGAAGGGACTTCCCTGGTGGTCCAGTGGTTAGAACTCTGCTCTTCCACTGCAGGGGACGAGGATTTGTTCCCTGATCAGGAAACTAAGATCGCAAAAGTGGCGTGGCCAAAAACAAACCGATTAAAAATTGTTTTCAAAATAACTGATTTTTTCTAAGAAAACTTAGACAGTAGAGATAAGCACAAACAAAATAGAAACTACCCAAATTTTACAACGTAGAGAGACTTAGATTTAATATATATCCTCCCAGATTTTTCCACATATGTGTAATATAAAGAAAAATTCTTTTTTTTTTTTTCAGTTAAAAAAAAGCTTTAGTTTTTTAACAACAAAAAAAATTGTTTAGCTGCAGTTGGTCTTTGATCTTTGCTGTGACATGTGGGATCTAGTTTCCAGACTGGGGATCAAGCCCAGGCCCCCTGCATTGGAAGCTCAGGGTCTTAACCACTGGACCATGAGGGAAGTCCCAAATACATACGTTTTAAGTAAAAGTTGGATCTGTCCTATTTGTAGTGTCTGTACTTCACTGAAGTGCATACCTGTTTCCAGTATTATATTTTAAAACATCAGTGTGTGTGTGTGTACACATATGTACACCTGAAGGAACACTCCAAAAAATGCCACCGTTATTGTTGACTGGGTAATTGTTTTTTTAAATTATATTCTAGCTCCATAAAGTTTTATTTTGTTTTTAATACTTAGGTATTTATTTGGTTATTCTGAGTCTTAGTTGCAGCATGTGGGATCTAATACCCTGACCAGGGATGGAACCTGGGCTCCCTGCATTGGGAGCTTGGACTCTTAGCCACTGGACCACCAGGGAAGCCTCTGATTGTGATTTTTGTAATGTTTTTAGCCTTTGTGCTTGGTTGAGTTCTGTTTTCCAAAATCAAGTCAGTGCCTGTGCTTTGCAAAAGAGACAGGTATATCTTAATACATACAGATTTGGCTGTCCTTCCAGACGTTCTCTAGGGGCTCACTCTGCTTTTGTGATTAAGGAAGTATCACAGCAACTTTTATGTGAAGTAAATACTGTGTAGACAGAGGAGATGCCAGGTCTGTCTACAGAACCTGTGGGCTGGGGAACCGCGAAGGGAGGCCGCCTGCCTTTCACCCCTGCCTTGGTCCTGGTGGTCCCTGAGCCCTTCCCCAGGCCCACGTCTGCAGGCTGTGTGACAGCATGTACTGCATGGAGGAGGAGGCGGGCAGATGCAGGCTGGTGGGGTTTCCTGGCCCATCCCAGACTCTTTGGTCCCCAGGCCGTGGATCCAGGACATCGAGGGGGGCAATGCCACGAACCTCTGTGGCCCTTCCAAGGCCCGAGCGTCTGTACCAAAAGGTAAGGTGCCCCACCAAAAGATGGAGGAAAGGCAGGGGCCAAGTCTGCCTGGCAGGCTCCTGCAGGCACTGATGGGCGTAAATGCCTTTCCTCACTTACTCATCCCTCTGGCCCTGGAAGCAGGGTCCTGGCAAGTGAGACCCACAGTCCCCAAAGTCCCCAAGTTGCCATTATAGCAACAAGGTGCACAGCCTGGAGGGAGGTGGGTGAGTGAGCCTGGGGTGAGTGTAGACGCCAGCCCACCCTTGACCGGGGACTGTGCCTCTTCTGCCTGCAGGTGAGAAGCCCTGTGAGCAGGTTCATTTCCAGCCCCACACGGTGAACACCTTGGCCTGCCCCCTCCTGTCCAACCTGGCGACCCGGCTCTGGCTGCACAATGGGGCCCCCATCAACACCTCGGCCTCCTGCCGCGTGCTGGCCACCGGGGACCTGCTGCTAGTGGGCAGCCAGCAGGAGCTGGGGCTGTTCCAGTGCTGGTCGCTGGAGGGAGGCATCAAGCAGCTGGAGGCCAGCTACTGCCCAAAGGTGGTGGATGAGGTGACCGGCGGTGCGGGCCGGAGCGGCAGTGTGCCCGTCATCATCAACACGTCTCGGGTGAGTGCAGGCAGCAAGGCCAGCTGGGGCACGGACAAGTCGTACTGGACGGAGTTCCTGGTGATGTGTGCGCTCTTCGTGTTCGCCATGGTGCTCCTCATCTTATTCTTCCTCTACCGGCATCGCGGTGGCATGAAGGTCTTCCTGAAGCAGGGGGAGTGTGCCAGCGTGCACCCCAAGACCCGCCCAGTGGTGCTGCCACCTGAGACCCGGCCGCTCAATGGCATGAGCCCCCCTAACACCCCGCTCGACCAAGGCTACCAGGCCCTGTTGGACAGCTCCCCGGGGACCCGCATCTTCACGGAGTCAGAGAAGAGGCCACTGAGCGTCCAGGACAGCTTTGTGGAGGTGTCCCCAGTGTGCCCCCGGCCCCGGGTCCGCCTGGGCTCTGTGATCCGGGACTCGGTAGTGTGAGAGCAGACTTCCGGAGGCGGCCTCCCTCTGGGGGCCCCGAGTGCTCAGAGCTGGTCGGCTGGACCTCTGCTCCTCCTTGTGGAAGAAGCCGTGGTGTCCACCCCTCGGGAGCGACAGAGCCCGCTGCCAAGTAGCAAGGCCCCCCCGACCCTCCACCCCAGATGGCCACGTCCCTGTGGATCCTGGCTGAAGATGGGGGCCTGCCCAAGTGAGCAGATGCTCCTTAAGTGAACTGAGCCCTTTGTTTAAAAACAGCTGAAAATGTGAAACAGGAAAAGGAGACAGGATGACGCCACACCTGTGGCCAGCCCAGTGCCTGGCTCCCAGCGCCCAGCTCCCATGTTGGAAGGACGCACCCAGAGTGGCTGTGTGAGATGAGCTGGAAATGGCGCACCCACAGGCCTCTTCCGCCTTCCCCTACTGTCACAGGCTGCCCCTGCTCGCTGCAGAGACAGCGGCCAGCTTGGGCTCCAAGCGGCCCAGCCTCCCCAGCTGGCCAAGTCCTTGCAGCCATCATCCTGTCACCTCAGGGACCAGAGGGCCCCGCTGGCCCCGCAGCCCTCCCAAGGCCCTGGGCTCAGGCCCACCTCCTCCTGGACTTTTCCGGCCTGTATCAGGCTGTGGCCACATTAGAGAGACAGGGCAGCACCAGCCCAGGAGAGAGTCTGTGACACTGAACATCATCCCTCGGAATTCTAGGAAGAGACTTGCTGCCTGCCTTCCTCCAGCCTACAGACCTGTGTCCCTTTTCCCATACCTGCCCTGGCCTTCAAACCCAGCCGTTCATCCCTACACCTTGCAACCTCCACTCTTAAGGGACAGCTAAGCCCGTGCACCACTGATAACTGCCCAGCACAAGGGACCCTGAGTTTATGTGGGTTTTATATATTTTTTTTTAATAAAAATGCACTTTACTTTTTTTTTTAAATAAAATCTAAAGAATTGACATTGAATCCTGGGCCCTTCCTCTTAAAGGACTGTTGCTTTTTGAGGTTGGTCCCGTTCTCTGAGTTCTGGGAGGTTCTAGGCCACCTCTTTCAGGTGCTAGTGGGCTAACGCCAGCCCAGCCTGACTGACCACATCTCCCCGCAGAGCCAGGTTCTTTTTTTTTTCTTTCTTATTTTGGCCGTGCTGGGTCTTCGTTGCCGTACAGGCTTTTCTCTAGTTGTGGCAAGTAGGGGCTACTCTAGATGTGGTACGCCGGCTTCTCACTGCGGTGACTTCTCTTGTTGCAGAGTATGGGCTCCGGGGCTCATGGTCGTGGGCTTCAGTAGTTGTGGCATGTGGGCTCTAGAGCATGCGCTCAGGAGCTGTTCAAATGATCACACAGTGAAACTGACTTTTTTTTTAGTACACGGTTCTATGAGTTTTAACACATGTAGAAGTTCACGTACCCACCACCACTATCAGGATACAGAGTTCCACCCCTCGTGCTCCCCTTCATACCCCCTCAAAAGGGACAGTGGGACGGGCAGATACAGTCTGACTTCCTGCTGTCCCCTTCTTTGCGTGCATGCTTAGTTGCTCAGTTGTGTCCAAATCTTTGCAATCCCATGGGCTTTACCAGACTCCTCTGGCTGTGGGATTCTCCAGGCAAGAATACTGGAGTGGGTTGCCATTTCCTACTCCAGGGGATCATCCTGACCCAAGGATTGAACCTGGGTCTCCTGCATTACAGGCAGATTCTTTACCATATGAGCCATCAGCCATCCCCCTTTTTAAGTCCTATTTATCCCCAGGGTGACCGAGGGCTCATAAAAGTCCACTCCTTCACACCAGTAATTCTAGTGTTGCACAAAGGCTCAAAACTTCTAAACCTTTATTAGTGATTAGTAGGAACACAAACAGAGCGATGACAGTGAGAAGGGGAAAGGCCCTGACGTGGAGGGCCCTCCACAGCCCCGGGCAAGACCGCGCAGTACCAGCTCCGGGCTGGACCAGCTTGGCCGGTGCTGACAACACAGGGGGTAACCATGACCACAGCTCAGCAGTGGCCATTCTTCAACAGGGTGCTGCTACACATGCTGTGGCTCCCATCACAGGACAATCTTAAAGGAACTGAACAAGAGAAGAGTGTGTTGGGGCTTTCTGCTGGAAGAAACCCTAGGTTCCTCCCTAGGTTTACCCCTCCCCCAAGACCCCTTGGAATGGGCTATATCCCACATGTGTGAGTCCCCTTTAGAAGAAGAGCTACTCTAATATATTCAGAGGAAGCAGGAGGCCTTTTCCTACCCCAGGGACCACCTCCGGAAATAACATCTCAGACCTGGTGCAGCAGGTGAGGACCAAGTCATACCTGGCAAAATCTGGTGAGCGGGAGATGACATGCTGGAACTCGGAGAGGTTGATGGTCCCATCCCTATCAATGTCGGACTCCTCTAGGATCTGGAAAGGGGAAGCTTCAATGCTAAAGCCCAAGCTTCCCCGCCTGCTCCCCGGCCCAGCCCAGCCCACCCCCGCTGCTCACGTTGTCGATGAGCTGCTTCATCTCTGAAGCACTGAGCCGTGTGTCTTCGCTCTCTCCTGTGAGGCAGTTCACGAGCTGGCTCAGGTCTTCTCTGTTTAAGGTTCCATCATCATCAAAGTCTAGAAAGCAGACACAGGAAGCCCAAAAGGAGGTGGTCAGGATGAGCACCCAGCTCGTGACTCCCTGAGCTCCCACAAAGACCATGTTGGAGGAGCTGGTGTTCCACCCGGCCCCCTACTCCTTACCGAAGATGCGGAAGGCGTAGTGGGACTTGATGTCTGGAGTGGCTGTGTCACTGAACACACTGAGGAGATCCAAGAAGTCCTCGAAGCTCAGGCTGTCTCTGCTCGGGGAAGTGGAGAAGACCTTGCAGATTCGCTCCTTGAAGGGGTTAGCCTAAGCAAGAAAGCCTTCTGTGAACGCCACACACGAAGCAGCCCAAATCACACATTCAAATGCCACCGGGAAACGAGGGAGCGGTTCAGGCTCTCAGGAGAACCATCACCACTTTGGGGCCAGCATAGAAGTCAGGAGGACCCATGACCCCACTGGGGAAGAGACAGGAATGGCTTTCTGGGCATCAGAGCTTAACCTAAAGGCAGGCCTGGGAGCAGAGAAGGAAGGAAGAGGAAGGCATTCTAAGCAAAGAGAACAAGTTGAGCTGGTTATTTTAAAACACAAATATTGAACCAAGCAATTACTGTGTTATAGGCCAGGCCCTTTGCATAGAAATTTTCGCAGCAGCCCTATGGAGAGGCAGTTAACTTCTGGAATAGAGTTTCTCAAACTTCAATAAGGTAATTCAACTCCTCTTAAAGGACAAAACTTTGAACCTCCAAGAATATGTCTGAGGACCCCAGTGTGCAAAACATTCTTCTGTTACTATATAACTCCCCTTGATATATACCTTGATAAAGTACCCAGGAACTTAGGGTGAAACAGAGAGAAGACTAGAATGGGGAGCAGTGACCATGTGACCTCAGAAGGAGTAGCAGAGGGAGGCTGGTGGGGGCTGGCACCTTGAGCTCTGGAAGGCTGAGGATCTGCTCCAAGGACACCCGAGCCTGCAGTGACTCCTCCACACTCCGCTGCTCCTGGGGAAGCAGCTCACAGAACCGTCTGTGGGCTCTGGCAGAAGGAAGAGAAACTGTTAATGTGCTTTCCTAAGTGTACCACATCCCCCCTCCGGTCCTTGAATACCCATCATGACCAGCTGAGGAGCTAAGCCCTCGGGACTTCTAAGGCAAGAGGAGACACATCACAAGACAGTACAGGGAGCCTGGGGGTCCATCCTTGCGGGTTTACTGCAGGACCCCGTGTCCCAGGCACTGTGCTTGGCTGATTCTAGACTCCCCCAGGTTTGGAGAGGTCCGGGAAGGGGCCAGAAGTTGGCCTTAAAGAGCAAGCAAAAAAGAGCGAAACTGAAATCTCATTTCATTTCAGGAATCTCCCGCTGCTCCTCAAAGCAGCTACCCTGAACTTTCTCCCCCTTAGGCCCTGCCTCATTCCCAATGGGATTATTTTTTGCCAAGAGAAGCCTAGGAACCTTCTTGCTCAGGTGTGCGGCCACAATAAAGCTGGCTAGGAAGGGGGTTTCAGCCCCAGGTCAAATCCTCTTACAAAAGAATGTCGTCTTAGGCAAGTTATCCGACTGTTTCACTGTCCCCATACCTCCCTCGTGAGGGTTACAAAGGATACGTAGACAACCCTTTGTAGCAGAGCAATGGCAGGTGCTCAGTAAGCGTTAACGGTTACGGTAGTGTTCAGATAAAGGAGGAGCCAGAGGGCTCCCCAAGGCTTCTCTGGCTTTGCCAGCAGAAAAAGCAGCCCAGAACTACAGCAGTCCCTGCCGGACTGGTGCAGGAAGTTCCGTTTTGCAGAAGTCAGGGGAGCGGGGTCAAAGAGCACCCAACTCCGGCTGGAGGCTGCTCCGCGGTGCACCGCTGGGGCCGCCGGCGCGAGATGGGAGGGTGTGCCGGGAAGAGGGCACAGCCGAGGGCCCGAGGCCCCGGCCTCCAGTTCCAGCTCAGCTGCTGGCCTCAGGCAGGCCCCTGCCCCTCCCGCTGGCGGGGCCTTGGTTTGCCCATCAGTAAGATGGAGCCTCCCCGGCTCCCGAAACCGTTCCGAGAGCATCCCAGAGGTGAGGTTCGAAACAGCACTTACAGAAGGATCTCCTGTTTGGTCAGGAACGTCAAGTCCTGGAAGGCAAAACGAGAGAGGAGGGTCAGCAGGCCGCCCGGGGGCAGAGGCCGCGCCCACCCGCCCGGCCGCGGCTCGGGGACCGTCCTCTCCCGAGCGCAGGCCGCGCGCAAACTCCCTGGGGACCGGCGTCTCGCGCACCTGGTACTCGGCCAGCAGCTCCTTGGACAGGCGACTGCCCGAACCCCCCATCGCTGCCGCTCGCACACAGCTCCGCCAACTTGTCTCGGGACGCCGGCAACTTTCTCACTTCCGCCCTCGGGCCGCGTCACCACCCGGTGCCCGCGGCAACCGCTCCTGGGGCCACCGCCCCCCGGGCCCGCCCCCTCCTTAAGGCTCCCAGGCGCTCCCAGCCCGGTTCGCCGGTTGGCTCCCGGCTCCGGGCGGTCCCTGGAGAGCTGGAGGCGGGGCCCGGGGCGGGGCCGGACGCTCCGGGGCGGGGCCCAGGCCTCACGGCCCCGCCTCCAGGATGGAGGGGCCGGGCCGTGCTGTCTTCGCGCGCTGGCGTGCAGGCCGCGCATGCGTTGAGGGCGCCACGACCCCGCGATGGCCCCGGTAGAGTTTGGGGGAAGTCGCGCGGTGCGTCCGCCTCACCTTCAGTAGGTGCCGGGGGTGACGGCCTTGGCGGCCTTGGGCGGAGTCCGGTAAAGAGCATCGGGGAAGTGTTTGGAGCCGGGGTAACCGAGAAACCTCGTGGCTCGCTGAGTGGCCTGTGGCGGTCGGCTGCCCTCTCTGCCTAGCGAGGGCTTTTCCACCCGGACGTTGCCATTCGTCACCTGCCGTACTAGTTGCAACCCTCACGCCACGTCTGCAGAAATAACCATAACCTTGCGGCATGTTGAGGCTGTTTATTGAGGGCCCACTGAGTCCCAAGCGCTGTGCATAATTAGCTTCAATTCTTACATCTCTGCAAGGTGAGTTACCGGAGAAATACAAAGGCTCACTGCAGTTCAGTGTGTGTGTGTGTGTGTGTGTGTGCGCGTGCTTAGTCGTCTCCGACTCTTTGCGGCCCCATGGACTGTAGCCTGCCAGGGTCCTCTGTCCATGGGTATTCTCTAGGCAAGAATACTGGAGTGGGTTACCATACCCTCCTCTAGGGGATCTTCCAGCCTACGTATGGAACCCACCAAGTCTAGAGACTTGTCTAGACTTGAGCTTTTAAAAAGCGGTGGCTCCATTCTAAGGCTCTTTTCAGGGATCCCCACTGCTGTACTCTCCCCAGCCTGCATGCTGCCTTGTGACCTGCACCCAGACTGCATGCTGAGGGAGTAGGAATTGAAACTGAACTATTTGCTCTTGTCCCCACTCAGGCCCTAAGACAATGCTTGACACGTGCATGGTACGGTCTCAGTTTGTACTGGATGCATGCATGAATGAGTATTCTGAAAGGTAGGGGTTACAAACTACTGAGTGGAGGAGGTAGTGAGATTCGTTATTTTTTATTGTTTTCTACTTTAATACGGTATAACAGACAAAATATAGTTCTTGATTCTTTTAATTCATTCCACTAGCTTATCTTTGTAAAGTCTAAATATGAGCATGTCAGTCTGTTTAAAACCATTAAGGAGTTAAATACCCAGAGCAACCCCCTGTAATTCAACTTCAACCTCACTTTATCTGTCTGCCAGTCTCCTCAGGCTTTCTGGGTTTCAGCCACTATGGGTTCTCCATTCCTCTTCCATCTTATCCTCAGGGAATCCTTCCCTGATTTCCTAGACTAGATTAAGAATCTGTATTACACTCACAGAGGATCCAGTGCTTTCCTTGACAGCATCTGTCATATTTGCCATCTATATTTACATGTGTGATGACTGAATTAATGTCTTTTTCTCCCACTAGACTGCAAGCTCCGTGAGGAGCAGTGGGAATCATGATTTTCAGACACAAGGTGTGGCAGTTATTGAGTGAATGCTTTTGCTGCGTAACTGTAATTTTCCCAGCACTCAATAATGATAAGGTGATCATCGGAGAATGACTTAGTTAGACTCATTGTATCAACCTGTGAGTCCCACCACTGCGGAAATATTACCTTCCAGAAAGTAGAGGCTACAGAGCAGTGGGAACACCAAAGCCAGTCAAAGTGACTGGAGTGTAGTCTCTTGAGAATAGACTCCTGTCCAAGAAAGAGTTGGTCTGCAGTTAACAAAAGGCAACGAACAAGAATCTGCCTGCAATGCAGGAGACCCTGGTTTGATTTCTGCATCAGATGATCCTCCGGAGAAGGGACAGGCTACTCACTCCAGTATTCTTGGGCTTCCCTGGTGACTCAGCTAGTAAAGAATCCGCCTTCAATGCAGGAGGTGTGGGTTCGAGCCCTGGGTTGGGAAGATCCCCTGGAGAAGGGAACAGCTACCCACTCCAGTATTCTGGCCTGGAGAATTCCATGGACTGTATAGTCCATGGAGTTGCAAGTTGAACATGACTGAGCAACTTTCACTTTCTTTCAACGAACAAGAAGCTGTCATTGTGTCTCCTATGCTAGGCTAAGAAGACAGAGCACCAACCAGTGAGTGCACATCCTTGGACTTCAGGATGAGACTGCATCTTTTCATGGTGAAGGTGTGGGACTTGACACTGCCCCGCCATAGTGGCCAGCTGTGATGTAGATTGCTCAGCCACCTCACTTGACTTTGAACCCTTCGTCACTGAACAGTTTTTTTATTATAATTTTGCTTCCTGGTAAATTTTTGTACGGATGAAGGTCTGTAGCAACCAACCACAAAGAACATTTTGTGCTCTTTGCCATGTTTCTCACTATAAATTATTAAATCAGCATTCTGAGTCATCTAGCAGTCCCTGGTGAGCTTGGTTAACATATTGTCTTTCCTGTGTTCAATGAACCCTTGATAACAGTGATAAAACTGAGTGGCTGATTTAAAAATAGCTCCTAGTGTTTGTTTTCCAAGACATTTTTTTCCCTGCTTGTCATATTATTTCCCTCTTCCTCTTTCCTTTGAGACATTAGATGGTATGGCCACCAAGGTGTGTTTGAGGTGATGGTGGTTTAATTGCTAAGTCAGGTCCGACTCGTTGTGACCCCATGAGCTGTAGCCTGCCAGGCTCCTCTGTCCATGGGATATTCCAGGCAAGAATACTTGAGTGGGTTGCTATTTCCTTCAGGGGATCTTCCTGACCCAGGGATCGAACCTCGGTTTCCTGCTTGCTTCCCTAAGCCACCAGGGAAACCCATGTCTGAGGTGGTACTGTTTGATCTGAGACTTAAATGAGACAGGCATGTGAAGACAATCTGGGAGAAGGGTATTTTAGACTGAAAGAACAGAAAGCACCAAAGCCTTGAGCAGGAACAGGTTTAGGAAGAGTGAGGAGCAGAGTAGGCAAGGGGAAGAGTGGTCTAAGAGGAGGTGAAGAGGAGGCACAGCTAAGCCTTGAGAGCCCAGAGCCCATGGTACAGAAATGGGTTTTGTTTTAGGGGCTCAAGGTCACATCATCCCTAGTGAATAGAAGAGTCAGAATTCAAACATCTCGTCAGCCTCCAAAATCAGATCTCTCACCTTCCTGCCAAGATGATACCCACCACACAGGCTTGTTGTGAGGGTCACCTATGTAAACTTGGAAAGCCCCCAGCCCATGCCTGGCATAGGAGAGACATGGGACCTGTGTTCCCTTCCTCCTGGTTTTCCTATGAAGGTTCAGTCCTGTCAGGTGCTCACTATGATTTGTTATTCTCAAGTATTCCTCTTTATTTCTAGGTATTGTTTTTTGCCTCTTAGTTCACTTGAATATCTTCCTTAGTGGCTCAGATGGTAAAGAGTCTGCCTGCAGTGTGGGAGAAACGGGTTCCATCCCTGGGTTGGGAAGATCCCCTGGAGAAGGAAATGGAAACCCACTCCAGTTTTCTTGGAGCCTGGAGAATCCCAAGGACTCAGGATCCTGGCTGGCTACAGTCCATGGGGTCGCAAAGAGTCAAACACAACTGAGCGACCTCAATTCTTTCTTTCTATTTCATTCACTTGAATATCAGTACAACCATACCCACTTTCTATTGGTTCTGTTGACTGATATGTCTTTACTCATATTTTTAGTCTTTTGCTACCATTTTGGCCCTGGGTCCTTGGTCTTAGCCCTTGGGTCTTAATGTTATTCTAATTTCTGTCTAGCCCAGACTTCAACCTTGACCTCCAGGTTTGACTGTCCAGCTGTCTACACCACTTGTCTTGAATGCCCAGGTGACATCTCAAACTCAATAATGAAAACTGAACTCTTGATCTCTCCCTTCCTCTAGTCACCTATTCCCGCCCGCACCCCATCTCCACCCTGTCTATCTCTGTAAATGCCACTGCAGGGCCTGGTTCCTGAAGCTGAGTCACTCCCAGTTCTTCCTTTTCCCTCAGTGTCCATAGTCAGCATGTCAGCAGGCCCTGTTGGTTCTGTCTTTAAAACATGACCCATATTCCCAACTCCTCCTAACTCTGTTGCCATCTGTGTTGTCCAGTCACCTCACTGCTCACCTGGCCACCAGAGTGGCCTCAAAAGTGGTCTCTGCTTCCTCTTTGCTCCCCTACGATCCACTTTCCACATAACAGTTAGAAAAAAGTTCATAAAATATCAGATAGTCCTGAAATTCCTGGGTTCATTCCTTGGTCAGAGAAGTTCCAAATACTGTGTGGTGTGGCCAAAAAAATAAAATACCAGATGGTCCTTATGAACCTACCAGTGATGTCTTACTCCATTTAGAACCTACCAGTGATGTCTTACTTCATTTAGAATAGAATCCAAGTTCCTGTCCATGATGCATAAGGCCCTGCAGCTAATCTGACCTCCGCCTTCATTAAGCTTCACTCATTGGGGGGGTCCTCTCCCCTTTGTCAGCCATACCCCAGTAATGTTGCCTTCTTTCTATTCCTAGAACAGGCCAACCAGCTGCCTGCAAGACTCGTGGCCTTGGACTTCTAGTTTCTTTTGCCTGGAGTACACTCAGCTCTTCATTGTAGGACTCATCTTATCCTTCCTGTCTTAGCTCAGCTGGCACATCCCTCTTATAGAAGTGAGATGTCCTGATCCCACCGCTTAGTCACCCCCTGTTTTATGACTTGTTTCCCACAAGATGCTGTCACCATGGGTAGTTAATATTTTCCTTTTGCTTATCATCTAACTTCAACCCAGGATGTAAGTTCCATAAGGATATGGACTTGGTTCCTTATTTGCTACCATGTCTTCATTGCCTCATACACAGCAGTTACTTCCTAAATACTTTGATTTTGTGGCTCAGCAGAACATAGACCAGGTTGCACAGAAGAGGTGGCCCTAGAATGTCAACAGTGGGGTTGAAGTGGGTTGATTCTGAATGAATGAATGAGAGACACTTAAGTGAGTGTCATTGAGTCGCTCAGTCATGTCTGACTCTGCAGCCCTGTGGGCTGCAGCATGCCAGGCTTCCCTGTCCTTCACTATCTCCTGGAATTTTTTAAAATGCATGTCCATTGAGCCAGTGATGCCATCCTGCTCAGGTTTAATTCAGCAAATTGTTGGATTTCTTAAATCTATTTTGAGAATCACTTAAATTGTTTTGAATTGTGGCAAAATACACATAACATGAAATTTACCATCTTGACATTTTAAAAATTGGGTTAAAAAGTAACATAAACTTTAAAACCTTAATCATTTCCAAGTGTATAGTTCAGTAGTATTAAGTATATGCACATTATTTGGTAGCCCAGTCTCCAGAACTTTTTTCTTCTTGCAAAACTGAAACTCTGTGCCCATTAAACAACAAACAGTTTCTCATTTCCCCCTCCCCCCAACCCTTGGGAACCACTGTTCTACTTTCTGTCGCTATGAATTTGAGCTTTTTTTTTTAAGTTAATTTACTTATTTGGTTGCACCTTGTCTTAGTTGTGGCATGTGGGATCTAGTTCCCCAACCAGGGATCCAGCCTGGGCATCCTGCATTGGGAGTGCAATGTTGCCGCCACTGGACCACCAGGGAAATCCCAGAATTTGAGCACTTTAGGTACCTTATATAAGTGAAATCATAAATAACTTGTCCTTTTGGTAACTGGCTTATTTCAGTTAGCATAAAGTCCTCAACGTTCATCCATATTGTAGCCTGTGTTGGCACTGCCTTCTTTATAAGGCTGAATAACATTCCATTGCCTGTATAGGCCACCTCTTGTTTATCGACTTATCTATTGGTGGATACTTAAGTTGTTTCCACCTCTTGGCTACTGTGAATAATACTGTTATGAACACGGGTGTATAAATACCTCTTTGAGACCCTGCTTTCAGTTCTTTTGGATATACCCTCAGGAGTGGAACTGCTGCATCACATAGTAATTTTATTTTTATTTTTTTGAAGAGCCGCTCTACTGTTTTCCATCTGTATCACTTTACATTCCCACCAATAATGCCTAAGGGGTCCAATTTCTGCATATCCTTGCCAGCACCTGTTATTTTCTGTTTTTGATAGTAGCCATCCTAAAGAATGTCAAGTGGTATCTTATTGTGATTTTTATTTTATTTCCTTACTTAGTGATGTTGAGCATCTTTTCATATGCTTGTTGGCTATTTGTATATCTTTGGAGAAGTGTCCTAGACTCACTTTTAATAGAATAATTTAAGACTTTATATTTTTACTTATGCTTAGTAAATTATGCATAAATTATGCATAAATTTTTATGCTTAGTAAATTAAGTATAAAATTTAAGCTCAAGTTTTTTAAAAAAATGTTTATTGTGGTAAAAAATGCAAAAGTTTTACCATCTTAACCATCTCTAAGTGTGCAGTTCAGTAGTATTACCATCTTAGCCATCTCTAAGTGTACAGTTCAGTAGTGTTACCACCATCTTAACCATCTCTGAGTACACAGTTCAGTATTGTTACCATCTTAACCATCTCTAAGTGTACAATTCAGTATGGTTACTATCTTAAACATCTCTGAGTGTACAGTTTAGTAGTATTAAGTATATTCACATTATTGTGTTGCCAATCTCTGGAATATTTTCACCTTACAAAACTGAAATTCTATACCCATTAAACTCAGCTTGACTTTTAACAAAACATTGTTTTTCTGTTTTATTAATGTAAAGTTTCTGGACCAGCAGAGCTGACGGTACCTAAGCTTGTGCTGAGGCAACTCCACTGAGGTAAGCTTCCTTCTGAAGTCCCTTCTGGGCCAACAGCAGGTCATGTCCCTGACCCCTTGGGTCCCCTGGGCTTCAGGGACCCAGTAGAGATGAAGACTAACACCTATTTCCACCTTAAAGGATTGGCCCTGTGCACTTACGATTGGCCATCCTCACCCAGGTGGTTGTATGCATGGCCATTTGGAATTACTACACAACAGTGGACAAGCTATTCCCATAAAAGGAGTAGTAAGCTTTGAAGCCGTGGCCACTCTCAGGCACTGGAACACTGGTGCAGTCTTCTGCAGGGCAGTTTGCCAGACTGTGTACTGAAAGCCTGAGCCATGAGCCTCTTCTGAACCCGTGGTCAACTAAGATTTTATTTTAAATGAAAATAAAAGCATCTGCAAAGATAGATGCACATGTCCATCTATGTATGGTAGTAAGAAGTCAGAAAAACCTAAATGTACAAGAGTTAAAATCAGTTAAAAAAAGAAACAAGTTCCAGGACTTCCCTGGTAGTCCAGTGGTTAAGACTCTGTGCTCCCAATGCAGGGGGCATGGGTTTGATCCCTGGTTGGGGAACTAAGATTCTGCATGCCTCATGGCATGGCCAAAAAAAAAAATCAAGATCTATCTACATATGAATATGAGGCTACATATGTAAATTGTGATTTTTCCCTGGGCATTGGAATAAGTGTTGTGATTTATCTGTATTTCTTTTCTCCACTAAGAAAGTTTTACATTATGTGTAATTTTTCGAAAGAGAAAGAATTTGATTTATATCTTTAATTCAGCAAAAATGTATGCTAACCTGCAGGTGATAGAATTATGAGTGATTTCTGTGTTTTCAAAATATTCTACCAAAAGCATATATTACTTTTGCAATCAGAACAAAGAGTAAAGTTTATTTAAAAATTAAAATGGGGGAGTTCCCTGGTGGGCTAGTGGTTAGGATTCTGGGCTTTCACCGCCATGGCCCAGGTTCAGTCCCTGCTCGAGGAACTGATCCTGCAAGCTGAGTGGTGCAGCCAAATAAATTAATAAATAATACAAATAAAAATCTCACATGCCGCAACTAAAGATCCTGCATGCCACAACTAAAATGGAAAACTACTTGTGCTGCAACTAGGACCCCACACAGCCAAATAAGTAAATAAAAATACTTTGTGTGAAAAAAAAAAAATACTTTGTGTGTGTTAGTCGCTCGGTTGTGTCCGACTCTTTGCAACCCCATGGACTGTAGCCCCCCAGGCTCTCCTGTCCATGGAATTCTCAGGCAAGAATACTGGAGTGGGTTGCCATTTCCTTCTCCAAGATATATTTCTGCCCCAGGGATGGAACCCAGGTCTCCTGCATTGCAGGCAGATTCTTTACCATCTGAGCCACCAGGGAAATCCCAAAAAAATATTAAAAAAAAAATACATAAGTAAAATGTAGTGAGTTTATTATTAAAAAATAAAATCTTTAGAAATGGGATGGCATCATGTATTTTTCACCTTGTGATTGTTTCAGGTCAGCCCCATGGCTATTCCACGTGCTTCAAATGAGACTTCCTATTTGCTGCCTCCAAACAAGGAGGACTGGGAAGGGCATGGCATTCCTGACTTTGTCTATGGGCAGGAGGAACTCGTGATGGAAGGGGTTCAGTGGCCAAGGGGCGCACTCAGCCTCCTGAACACGCCACCACTGTCTCACTTTGACTCTGCTCTCTGCTCAGCCTGGAGGCAGCGGATGGAGCTGGGGCTTTTCCGCTACCCCCTGGGAGCGCTGCCAACCCAAACCCTGCCTGGGACCGTGGGTTTTGTGGCTCAGCTGAATGTGGAGCGAGGTGTGCAGAGAAGGCGCCCCCAGAACATCAAGAGCGTGAGGCAGGAGTTTGACCCTGAACAGTTTAACTTCAACCAGATTCGGCCGGGAGAGGTCCTTTTCCGTCTGCACCGGAAACAGGATTGCCCCAGCACTGTGCAGCAAGAGGACATCCTGGTGGTGATCAACATCAGCCCCTTGGAGTGGGGCCACGTGCTGCTGGTGCCCGAACCCGCCCGAGGGCTCCCCCAGCGCCTGCTGCCCGGGGCACTGCGGGCCGGGGTCGAGGCTGTGCTGCTGAGCTCACACCCAGGCTTCCGCGTGGGCTTCAACAGCCTGGGCGGCCTGGCCTCGGTGAACCACCTCCACCTGCATGGCTACTACCTGGCCCACCGGCTGCCCGTGGAGGGGGCCCCCAGTGAACCCCTGGATCCTCGGGGTCGTCTGCATGTGCTCCAGGCTCTCCCAGCTCCGGGCTTCCTCTTTTACACCAGTAGGCCAGGGCCTGACTTGGAAGCCTTGGTAAGCAGGGTGTGTCGGGCCACTGACTACCTGACTGACTGTGACATTGCGCATAACTTGTTTGTCACCCGGGGGGCCCCACCTGGAAAGACAGCATCTTCCTCAGCTCTCTCGGGAGTCCGGGTCATTCTGTGGCCCCGGAAGCCCAGCTTTGGGATAAAGGAAGGTGAGGCATTCAACGTTGCCCTCTGTGAGCTGGCTGGGCACCTCCCGGTCAAAACGGCCCAGGACTTCAGCAGCCTGACCGAGGCGGCAGCTCTGGCCCTCATCAGAGAATGTCTGCTGCCCCCAGCCCGGGCAGAAGACGTGCGGGCGGCGCTGGTGGCCTTGATAGGCCAGGAGGAACAATAATCCTCCCAGCAGTATTTACTCTTAACTGATCCGGAGAACTGTCCATCGTGGTGCTGTGGGCGCGTTCATGAATGCCTTCTCACTGGTTTCAGCATAAGGGGAGGGATAAAGAACTGGTAAGTGGTCTCTTTAAAGAGGGAGATTGTTGGAATAAATGGCATGAATGAGCCCTCTTGGATGTATCTGCCACTTTTCACCTTGCTTCTTGGACAAGTCCCAGGGATGTCAAACCTGTTACTAAGAAGGGAGTACGTACAGGAGTTACACGCTCCTGACTCTGTATGCTGACTTTTCTTTAAGTGTTAGCAAAGTGATAGTTTATCACTTGTTCTATCTTGCCTCTGCTGGTCCTGCCTCTGCCCACCACTCAGTTGTGTTTCTTCATTCTGCTCCTGAATTCATCCCCTCCATCCATATACTGTATTTGTAGGACATATTTTGCCTACCTGGGCACCTCAAATTTTCCTCCAGCCCCAGTGCTGAGCTAAGTGTTCTTCACATACATTATTTTGTGTGAGAACAAGGTGTCTTCACAACTTGAGCGTTGCAGGCCCTTTTAATAGCCGCATTTAGCAGATGAAGAGATGGAGGCTGATAGAAGTTTAGTAACCCATCCAAGTTCAGGTAGCTCAAAAGTAGTGGAGTCAAGATGGCAGCACAGGCAGTCAAGACACCATGAAGCTGAGCTGGGGCTGTGCACCTGTGACCATCATGTTAATAAAGTCTCCTTGAGATGAGGCAGAATATGCATAACAACCCATTTCATAAGAAAGTTTAACCTTGAAATTCCTCTGAACATTTTGGTCACCCTCAACATGCCTGTTTTTGGCAATTGCACTAATTTTAGCTCAGTGCCTCTCTCTACAGGCCTTTGCAAATACAGGCTCTAGAAAGATCACTTTATTTTGCTTGCATACTCTCTGAAGGGAGCGCAGTGACCATTATAGCAAAGTGGACTTGGAGTGCCTAAGGTGGTAGGTCCAAATACCAGGATTTCCCTAGCTTTCCCTTAGAACTGATATTCAGAGGAAGGCCTTCTTCTGGCCCCAAATAAATCTTTACACAAAAATTAAAAGGTTTTCTTTATGGTGGTACTTCTTAGCCATGTGTACTTTGTGAATGATCAAGAAAGGGATTTATGGAAGCCTTCTCTAAGCTTAAATATGGAACATTTAGGAGCTGCTTTGTACCCAGGGCCCTGGGCTTTGAGCACAGTAGGAAGGTAAGAAGGGGTGATCCAGCTCAGGGCCTCTCCACCTCTTTGCTTGCTTTTTGTTTGTATGCTTGTTTCTTGCTTTTTGATGGAAGGTCTCTTGTCCTAAGGGTGTTGGACTTGAGCTAATGGGAAACCTTGAAGAGTTTTAAATTGAGGGGTAACAAATTTGCATTTTAGCTGTGATGGATGGATGGATGAAGGAGAGAAGACAGGGAATCCAACTAAGATCCTGCTGAATGCTGGCAATTCAGGCAAGCAATGATGATAGTTCAGGTACCAGAACAAAATATTTGTCTAAAAAGTGCACATCCTGCAAGGCAAGGGACTCCAAAACATTTAAGAAGGAGGTAATAGAGTATCATATACTGAAGGAGGATCCAGAAATCTAGGAATCAGGAAATGTCCATGTCTTTTTAAAGGAGAGACATTTTTTAAGTGTCCTTTAGATGTAGGCCCATGGTATAATCTTAAAGTGACAAATTTGGGCTGATTTTGGCAGAGGTGGCAATCAGAAGTCGGAGTGGGTGCACCTCAGGAAGAGATGGCAATGGTGAAGGAACAGTCTGATGAGCACCTGAGGGGCATGTGTGCTAATCACGGCTGTCCCTCCCAAGTGCCGAGACCATCCAAAATGTGGTTACTAAAAACACTGAAGGAAGGCAAGCAGATATTCGTCCCGAACACTGAGTTGGCCTAATTTCAGGGGCTTGCCCTGCAGGTTCAGGAAAGGATGGGGGTGGGACTTTTGTGAACTTGTGTGAAAAAAGAAGGATAAGTCCTGTCATGCACTGGGTCAGCTGTGGCAAGAATCCACTCTTGAGTGCAGTGCACCTGATTGCGTTTTCACTGCTTGCTCCAGGAGCAAGGAGGAGGTCCCAGAGGCCCAGCAACACCTGGGAAAGAGCAGGAGCCGGCCGAAGGGCCGTCAGGGGCCACCAGCTGAGTCTAGCACTGGGCCGATAGGTCTTCAGCTCTATTTTTCAAAGTGAAGGTACCCCTAGTGCTCCCAGCAATCTCCCGTCACAAAGAAAGCTGAGGTCACAGCCAGCTCAGCTCAGCTCAGCTCCTGCACCCCAGAGTGCTGTATGGAGTGATGTTGGAATGAGTGGGTCTTGTCAGCAAACCTAACATTGCACAGCCCCCCCACTCCCACCCCACAGACCCCAAACCTAGTGGAAAACATCCCATTCTGTAGTGGATTGTTCTGTCCTTAAGGAACATCCCCTTAGAACACCACGAAGGTCCTTACCCCCATCCTTCTCCCCTCAGATTCTAACAGGATGGAGCTGAATACCTGGAAGACCAGTGAATCAGAGGAAGGCTACAGTGAAGAAGAGGAATCTGAGGAGTGTGTAAAAGGGGAAGCTGCCATCCCTTCTAATGTTTTTCAGCAGGCACTCTCAAAGGCTGACTACAATACATTTAGGAACGGAGTTCCTTTATACACTGTAGCCAAGAAAATACTAAAGAAAATCGTAACCCCAGCTGAGCCAGATGTCTTAGAAGTTGGGAGGAGAAAGAGAAGGCAGAAACAGAGGTAACTGTCCCCTGGACCCCCTCACTTGCCCAGCTCAAGAGTAAACCTCTGCCCTTCTGCATTTGGGCGTGGAATCCAAAATTTTCCCTTTCGCCTGGGAAAGAGGACAGGAAATACAAGAGATCATTAGCCTTTTGGTACAACAAAATCCAGAACCATTTGGGCTGGCTTAATTTAGAATTTCAGCATATTTATATCATCCTGGTCTTTCCCAGGTGGTGCTACTGGTAATGAACCAGTCTGCCAATGCAGGAAACATGGGTTTGATCCCTGAGTCAGGAACACCCACTTGAGGACAGGGCAACCCACTCCAGTATTCTTGCCTGGAGAATCCCAGGAAAAGAGGAGCCTGGAGGGCTACAGTCCATAATGGTGCAAAAGAGTTGGACATGACTGAAGCCACTTAACACGCACAGTCTTTCCTTTAAGTGGCTTCTAGATAAAATCTGTGGGCTTTTTCTTCATCTGGATGTCTGGTACCACAGGGTCCTTTTCTCTCACTCCCTGATTTCTGCTCTTCCTCCATTCCAGAACCCTGGCCATCAGTCTGACCAACTGCCAGTATGAGAGTGAAGCACCTAGCTCATCACTCAAATGACTGGGCATCAGAGGATATTTAGGGTTGCAGTTTTCACTCTGAAGACAGTTCTCACAATTTGCTCCCAGCCCCTGGATCTCGTTCAGTTCAGTTCAGTCACTCAGTCGAGTCCGACTCTTTGTGACTCCATACTGCATCATGCCAGGCTTCCCTGTCTATCACCAGGTGCTGGAGCTTACTCAAACTCGTGTCCATCGAGTCAGTGATGCCATCCAACCATCTCATCCTCTGTCGTCCCCTTCTTCTCCCGCCTTCAATCTTTCCCAGCATCAGGGTCTTTTTCAGTGAGTCAGTCCTTTAAATCAGGTGGCCAAAGTATTGGAGTTTCAGCCTCAGGATCAGTCCTTCCAATGAATATTCAGGACTGAGTTCCTTTAGGGTTAACTGGTTTGAGCTCCTTGCAGTCTAAGGGACTAGAAAGAGCCTTCTCCAACACTACAGTTCAAAAGCATCAGTTCGTTAGGCTGACTTACAACTTGTCACCTCCGTCCTTCAAACCTTAGCCTAGATTTACTGCTAAATCTGGACTCTGGGCGCAGCCCGGGGCTAGAGGTCATCCAGGCGACAAGAAGTCCGTTTCCCAGAGGAGTCGAGTTCCCACAGCTCGGGGCTGTCGCCATCAGAGAACTGCTGAGGGGACGCCCTTCCTGTGACCGTGGCGGAGGCAGGCGGCCTGAGCAGCCCTTGGGGTAGAGGGGCGGGCGGCTCTTGGCCAATGATCTCGTCTTAAAAATTTACCGCGTTTGGCAGGAGCGTCCTCTACCTCATTCCGGTTCCGGGAGTTGCAGGGAAAACAGCCCCCCACCCCGCCCCGCCCTGTAGTTATTATGGGGAAGACTCGGCCACAGAGCGGTTTAAACCCAAAAGCCACGCCTTCAGCCTGAAGCCGGAAAGAACCGCCACCTCCCCCTGCTCTCGCCCACGCGTACCTCCGGTTCCGTCCCTGGCTTCCGGTGTTGGTCGTGAAGGGTTTTTTTGTAAACATGGCGTTTTCCCTGAAGGTTTTTCTGGGCGGCCGTGTCTGCGCAGCTGTCGCTCGCTGTGGGTTTGCTACCCGGGGGGTGACCATCCTGGGCTCTATCAGCCGAGAACCGGATCCCGATTTTGACTGGGAACCGGAGGAGCGAGAACTGCAGGAGGTGGAGAGGTACCGGCTCCTTCCCGGGCCCTCAGCTTGAAGCAGGGCCTTGGTATGGGCGCCCTTGTCCGCGCCCGATTGGCGCTGGGCGTCCTGCAGCAGCCCTTCTCACCCGTTTTTAGGGGCACAGGGGCAGGTGTTAGATCCTTTGCGACCACAGGTCCTCACCAAGGACGTATTTCATCACACGACTAAAGAATTCAGCAACAGCTTATGGGCTGTTCTTGGTGTTAGACTTCTGGGGCGGTGTTCTGGCTGGCCGACATGGCCAGGTAGTGTTTCCAAAGTGAAGTGCGCTGGATGCTCTGTGACTGACCCCCAGACTCTTAAACCACCCATCTAGCGTCTAGGCATGGTTTCTGCCATTGGTTCTCTTCCCCAGCGCCCTGAAGCGACAGAAAAAAGCCATTCGGTTCCAGAAAATTCGGAGGCAAATGGAGGCGTCAGGTGCCCCGCCCAGGACCCTGACGTGGGAAGCCATGGAGCAGATCCGGTAAGACTATTATGATTTTTGTTTTGAATACATAGTACATTACATATGGCTCAAAATTAAAGCAGTATAACGGCATATGTGTTGACAAGTGTTAACCCTCTTAGTCTCCTATGGATAGTATTTTTAATAGTTTTCTTGTGTCACTGTCTAGGTTTCCTTCTGCACATACAAGCAAGCTCATGTGAATGTAGAATTTTATTTTCACTTTCGTAGTCTCAAACAGAATTTATAAATAACTTTTCTACACTTTGTTCACTTAATATATTCCGAAGATCTTTCAACTTCCCAAGAGAGACCTCCTCATTCTCTTGTAGATGCTTAGTAAATTGTAGTTTATATTACTGATCTTTTATGGTGGGCACTTGATTTGTTCCCACTCACTTACTGTAACAAATAGTGCTCCGGTGCATGACCTTGTGTACCCGTCAATGTACATATCTGCCAGAAGCATTATACACATTCTCGGAAGTAGGGTTGCTGAAACCAAAGGTAAATGAATTTGCATTTTGGTAAATATTGCTAAATATTCTTCCAAAGGTTATGTTCCATTTTTCATTCTCACCAGAATAATTCTGGAGTTGAGACTTAGAATAAGGGGGTGTTATAGGGATGATAAAGATTTTATGAGCCTACAACACCTTCTATCAGCTTCCTCTCTTGTCTTGAATGCCAGCATTTTTAACCCTTCCATCTTCTTACCTGTCACCTCCCCTTTGGGGATCAGTAAATAATCTTTTTATTTCAGAGAAAAATCAGACCATTAGGTAAAAAGTTATTAAAGCTTCTTGGACTTCTCCTTACCTTCTACTTTCAGTCTTGTACTCTAGTCATATCACTGGGGAAGTGGCAGTTCTTCACTTGTCTAGGACCAGTCTTCTGGGTGCTCTAGGTCAAATTCCTCCCTAATTCCTCAGGTACCTTTTTCTGTCAACTTAAAGTTGTCCGTGTTGTATGCTGGGCCCAGTCTATCAATAACCAGTGCTGTGGCTGGACCAGCTGTTGTGTCTTAAGATTACAACATGCCCTTCAATGACCTCAACTTTGGCTGGGGGTGGGTGGAAGTTTATTACTTACAGGACCTGAAAATTACACAGCTCACCTGAGGCCACACAGCAAGGCCATGGCTAGAGAGAGTTGCAAGGGCCTGGAGTTCTACTTTTACTGCGGTTGAGCACTGGGGCCTGAGATTTTTTTTGGCGGTGGGTGGAGAGGGTAGGGTTTTGAGGGCTTACTCTTTATTGGTGAATTCAGTGGGAATTTAAAGCACAGGAAGAGACAAGGCAAGTGGCCCACGTGATTAGTTATTGAAGTCAACCATGATCTCTGAAACAAAGGTGCCTCAGTGGGGTGGCTGGAGCCCAGCTTTTTATCTAGTTGTGTGGCTGGCAGTGTGTCTATTGAAGACAGCCATCTTCAAAGTGCAAGCCTTGGCAAGCAAAGCTTAAGTCAGTCACTTGGATTACAAAAAAAAAAGGAAACCCAACTGTCAAGTTTACTCTACACTCCCTCCTCCTTTAGTTCCCTCCTGGCTCCCTGCTCTCATTTTTGTTTGTTTCATCATGACAACAAAACTGCTCACAAATATACCAGTGACTTCCTCAGTGCTAGGCATAACTGACTCTCAACACTTTAGCTTGTCTAATACGTCTCAGCATTTGACCTTGTCTGCATTCTTGAAATTCTCCCTTGACCCTTACAGGTTATTATTGTTCATTAATATACACATTATAGTTCAAGGAATCTAATTGATGACTGCACCCTGTTTCACTATCACTGGATTGAGCTTCAAAATGAAAATTTGCTCATGTGCTTTAAATTCTTTGTTCACTGTTGCTCTGAGATAAACTCCAGAATCCCTAAGCAAGACATGGTCTTGCTCCTTCCCCCACTGTCACACGGCTAGAACTCTTCCCAACAAAGGTGATGTGCTGCTTTGTATTTCACCTGCTGCCTGCTCTACCATCAGTTCCTTTGACCCCCTGTTCTTCTCCTCTCCTCTCACAGCTTGTTACAACTGCTCATGTTTTCAGACCAGCTCTAGGGTGGACTTCTGAAGAATTCTTAGGCTGCCCCACAGGTGTGGTGCTAGCCTGTCCCTGCCTCTCCCTTCCTGGTTCTCTCATAGCATCCTCTGCTGAGATCCTTCTCATAGTGTTCTTGGTTTTGCTGGGTGTTAATACATTTGTCTCCACCACCAGATTGTATTTTTTTTTTTTTTAATGAATGTCTATTTAGGGATAGGCCCTTGGCTGGATATTTATTATACAATCAATAATCAATTTATTAATAGCCAATTTAATAATCAACTTATTATTCAATCAACACAGCAGTCTTTTTTGTTGTTTTTTTGCTGCATAGTGGAGCATGCAGGATCTTACTTCCCTAACCAGGGATCAAACCTTCCTGCATTGGGTCTTCCAGCTCCCTGCATTGGAAGCACGGAGTCTTCATCACTGCACTGTCAGGCATGTCTGGGTTGTATATTCTTTGAAGGGAAAGACTGTCTTGCATCCCCTGGATCTTACTGGGGCCTGTCATGCAGTGAGAGAAATCCAGTTGACATTAAATTACTAAAAGTACTTGCTTGTTGCTGTAAGCACAGAAGAATTGGCTGTAGACATTTAGTGGTTCAAGACAGACTGTGTTTGCAGTTTTTCCAAGCCTCCTCCTTTTCATGTTATGTATCACTAGTGTTACATAATCTGTTAACTGTTCTGATAGGAGATATCTTAACAGATGGAAAATCTGCTTCTTTTTTTCATAGGTATTTACACAGGGAATTTGCAGAGTCTTGGTCAGTTCCCAGACTGGCTGAAGGCTTTGATGTCAGCATCGATGTGATCCGAAGGGTTTTAAAAAGCAAGTTCGTACCCACATTGGAACAGAAACTAAAGCAGGATCAGAAAGTCCTTAAGAAAATCGGACTTGCCCATTCGCTCCCGGAGCTCCCAGGCCCTGGAGATTCCTCCAAACCGCTTTCTGCAGGCCCGTCTGTATCAGGTTCTTTTCTGATGCCTGGGGATGAAGCCTCATCCAAAGGCGATGGTCACAGCACAGCTTTGAAAGCGATTGAATTGAACACTCAGAGTACAGATATACCAACGAGACAGACGGAAAGGAATAAAGGAGTCCAGGAGGAGGGGAAGAACTCTGTGCCTGTTGCTGCAGGTCACCCTACCGGCACTTGTAGGGGCGCCAGAGGAATTGACAGTGATGGATTACCCAGTGACAAGAAGCTGCAAGAGCTGAAGGCAGGGGAGGCAGGTGACCAGATCTTCAGCAACAGAGTCATGCAGAGGGGACGAGAGTTCTTTGACAGTAATGGGAACTTCCTGTACAGAATCTGAGCCGGGGATGTGCCACGTGACACACAGCTGGGCGAGTATATTTGGTTCTGCCTGGGTTTCTGTGTACGGATTTCCACCTTGGAAGTGAGGGGGAACGATGAGCCTGGAATGTGGGATGAAAGGTTTGAATCTGACAAAGGGCAGAGGACTTCACAGGGCAGATGTGTCTGGGAGCAGAGCAGTGACCCCCCAGGCAGAGTCCAGCCTCCTGGAGCACAGCCCCTGCTCTGACCCATTTCCATCTGCAGATTTCACCCTTCTCCCTTGGGCTGTCTGTGTGTTGAAAAACCTGTATTGCATGTGTTGTTACAAGTTTCTGTGATACTTGCAGTATATTTGGGAGGAGATTGTTTGTCTTCTCACCTCATTTACTTCTTGATTAATGAACACAGTTCTGGAACTGCTTAGTCAATTGGTTGTCCTCATTAAATGCAAAATAAAGCAAAATGAAGCAGTCTGTTTCGATTGGTGCTCTGTGGGATTGGGAGGGTTTGTTTACCTGGGAAGGGAAGGGAAGAAAAACAGAGCCCCTAAATGTTGGGAGAGAAATGTGACTAGAGGTATCGCCAGCAAAGGGCTCTGTGCTGATCAGCCCTGCTTAGTTACAGACTTTGACACTTAAAAACTGGACATTAGGCCTCCCCTAAACACCCAGTCTAAAGTCGCTCTTTTAGTTGCTGGGGCCCTGAGGAAGATGGGGGGTGGGGGGGGAGTCTGTCCAAACACAAAAAATACAGGGCAGGCACAGGCTTTACAGGCTCTCTACATAATCTCCATCCACTTCCAAAAGCTTAAATAGAATCTTACTTTACAGTTTTGTCAGATTTTTACAAGGCTCTTGTGATCTAGACAAGAACAGATAATAGATCACTTTTACAAATTGGGTATCGGGTTTTGGATATACCCACAGCCATGTAGCTGTGAGTGAGTGGCAGCACAGCACTGGGACTTGAACCCAGGTCTCACTCTTAAATCTTCTTAAATTCCTGGAATCCAGCATTGCCTGGCATAATTTCTGTTAATTCACTGATTCTTTTAGAAATATTTGATGAACATAATCACCAGAAAGTGATTATCAAAGGACAAATAGAGACATATTCAGGCAACATAAGAGTCCAATGATCATTCTCAACAATGTTTTGCTTTAACAATTTACCAGCAAAAATAGGCTAGTCAGAATTTAACTATATGCAGAATGTTTTTCTAATGGAGACGTAGATATCCCAATCCTGTCATTGATAGTCTGTTCATGTATCTTGTTGCTGTTTCAGATGTCATTAGTAGCAATTATTATATCACTGATTGCTGTTAACTGGAGCATTAGCTCGGTATAAGTGGGCAAGGCCCTATCACATGCCAGTCAAAGTTAGGGAATCCAGGTTTTGGTAAAGAGCAGTGGGCACACAAGGCCCTTGTCACTGCTCTGTCACTTTCAAGTAATTTACAAACAAGTATTTTTATGATTTTAAAAATAATTTGCCATGAGAAACTTCTAGCAGCAAGATGCTATTTGACTGCTTAAACAGGCATTTCTAACTCCTGCACATCATTTGACTATGCCTTTTCCCCAGGGGATTATAAAAACAATAGAAGCTTTTATTACTAGTTTAGATACGTTTTCCATTTACCTCATCCCCTAGCATCCTAATGCTCACTAGCTTAAATCTTTTGTTCTCCATTGTAAATGCTAATATTAGGCTTTTGCACTTACTAGTTCGTTGTCACCAGATTTTCATTTGGCTAGGTCCTTACCATTGAGGTCTCAGGTCAAATGTTACTTTCATAGGTCTTCCCTAATCACTCTGCTGCTGCTGCTGCTAAGTCGCTTCAGTCGTGTCCGACTCTGTTCGACCCCATAGACAGCAGCCCACCAGGCTCCCCCGTCCCTGGGATTCTCCAGGCAAGAATACTGGAGTGGGTTGCCATTTCCTTCTCCACTAATCACCCTAGTCCTGTTTAATTTTCCCCAATATTTGAAATGTATTAGTAATGTATTGGAGAAAGCAATGGCTACCCACTCTAGTACCCTTGCCTGGAAAATCCCATGGACAGAGGAGCCTGGTAGGCTACAGTCCATGGGGTCGTGAAGAGTTGGACACGACTGAGCAACTTCACTTTCACTTTTCACTTTCATGCATTGGAGAAGGAAATGGCAACCCATTCCAGTATTCTTGCCTGGAGAATCCCAGGGACAGAGGAACCTGGTGGGCTGCCGTCTATGGGGTCACATAGAGTTGGACACAGCTGATGTGATTTAGCAGCAGCAGCAGTAATGTATTATTTGTCATCATCTTCCTTGCCCCCTTCCCATAAGGGCAGGAGACCTGTCTGTGTTCATTGCTGTAGTTCCAACCCGAGGTGGATTTTTTTTTTCTTGCTGAGTGGCAAATGGTATTTTAGTTCTATGACCAGGGACTGAACTCATGTCCCCTCCAGTGGAAACACGGAGTCCTAACCATGTACCTCCAGGGAATTCCCCCTAACAAAGATTTCAGAATTGGTTGAGTGAATGAAAACTGGCTGGGAAACAGGTGTGTACTCAGTTGATTCAGTGTCCAACTCTGCGACCCTGGGGGCTGTAGCCCACCAGGCTCCTCTGTCCGTGGGGACTCTTCAGGCAAGAATACTGGAGTGGGTTGCCATGCCCTCCTCCAGGGGATCTTCCCAACCCAGGGATCCAACCCAAGCCTCTTAGGTCTCCTGCATTGGCAGGTGGGTTCTTTACCACTAGCCTCACCTGGGAAACCCAATCCATCAGTCAATCCACAATGGCAGAAAGTCCAGCCTTTTACCTTTGCCTGTTAAGAAGGCCTACATTTCCTACAGGTCGACCCATCCCTGCTCTATACGGTCAGAGTCTCGGATCTTCACCCACTGGTACTGAGGTGTTTGGGGATACTGTTGTCCTCTCCTCCCTGGTCCCCCACTGCCCCAGCCCAAGCTGGGAGGCTGGACAGGGGGATGGGGATTCCTTGGGCATGGGTAAGAGGACTCCATGGTGCCCTCTCCCCAATCAGTCCTAGTTCTGGACACAAAGGACTTTCACATCACATTGGATGAGGGGGAGCTGCATGAGGCGGCACAGGTGCCTCCACGGAGGCAACAGAAGACAAGATCCCCAAACTGGAGTGAAAGAGACTCTGGGCGGAGTGGGCAACTCAGAGCAACTTTGGGGCCAGATTTAAGAGGCTAGCAAACATGATAGAAGGGACTAAAGTCCCTGTGACCTGGAGGGTGTATATATCACTCATCTGTGAAGGGCAGCTTCTTCCTTTCTGTGCAGCTGAGATTTGCTCTAACTAAAGGTGAGGGGTGAGAGGAAGCTCAGTAAAAAACACTCAATGAGCATAAAAGTTTTGTGCTGTCCTGTTTTTGAAGTTTTCAAATATCTGAAAGCAGAATATTGTGATGCAACAAACCCCTGTGTACCCATCACCCAGCTTCAGCATTTAGCAAATGGCCAAACTTTCTTTGTTAATATGCATGTTGCAACTAGAGTTTCCACATCTTTAGCCACAGCTAAAGATCCTGCATGCCTCATCAAAGGTCAGAGACCCCACATGCTGCAACTAAGAGCCGGTGCAAGCAAATAAATAAATATTAAAAACAGCAAATTTGAGACATCAAATTATTTCATCTGTAAGTACTTCAGTATGTGTCTCAGAGATAGGAACTCCATTTTAACACAAGATATATGAACCATTTCTGTACCTTGAAAGTTTTAGTAATTCCTTATTATCAGCTAATATCCTGATAATATTCTGGTTGATTTCTTTGAATTAGGATCCACACAAAGTCCACACATTGCAATATTGCATTGTGTCATGTCCCAGAAGTCTCATTTTAAAGTGATTTCCATTCCACTTTCTTCTCTTTGTCATTTGACAGGTTATTTGACCCATAAAATTTTGTGCATTTTGGATATGCTTGAATTTATCCTTATGATGTCTTTTATCATGTTTCCACTACCTTCTGTATTTCCTATGAACTGGCAGTTAGATCTTGAGGCTTGATCAGGTTCAATTTGTACTTCCTATGCATCTCACCAGGAGATGAGTTTGTGATGTCACGATTGATTAGTGAGTTCAGGTATTGTCAGCCAGACCTGTCCATTATAATGTCTCTCATAAGCTTTTTAAAAACAAACAAAAACCCCAAACAAGGTAGATATAGATTTTTATCATCACCCCTGAAATTCCCTAATCTGCCCCAATTCAATTACTTTTCTGAAATTTTCACTATAGTTTTTCCTGTTCAAGAACCTGTTGTAAACAGTATAGAAGCCATTTTTGTATCTGGCTTCTTTCATTTATTCACTTATTTTTATTGTATAAATATGTCACAGTTTATCCGTTTTTCCACGAAAAGCATTAATGAGTCAGAACTCTTGATACTGAAAGGTCACAGCGGTGAGACTCAGCTTCCATTGGCTCCTAACGCGTTCTTCTCTCCCTTCACACCCGCCTCCATCTCGGGCGTCTAGCCTCCGGCAGGTCAGAAGCTGGGAGCTCAAAGCTCGCCGCTAACTTTGTGGAGCAGATGTGATCGACAGCCAAGATCCCTGGTGATCAGGGCCCTCCGGCTTCCAAGTTGGTTTCGTCCATTTCACGAAGTTCTGAAAATGGAGCAAGTGCCCAACGCTTCCTTGCGTGAGCTAGGAGAATTGGGTATACTCTTCAAAGTTAGTTTAAGGTAAAATCGTTTTATCACAGGAACACTCGCCTCTGGTCCGGGAAGAAACTGGAACGTTGACGCGTTACCGCGCGTTTTCAAATGTCCCTTCCAGGACGCCGTCCTTTTCCGGGTACCCTGAGCGGCGCTCGAGAGTGCGGGACTTCCGGGAGGTCTAGGAAGCCGCCCCTCTCTTTGGTATCTCTGCAGGTGTAGACCAGAATCCTGCGGACGGGCGAAGTGGACCGGGAGGGGCGGGGCGGGATACAGTGGCTGCTGGCCTGAAGCAAGGTCCCTTTGGCTGCAGCTGTCTGGCCGAGAGGTGGCCGGCCATTCATTCCTCCAGTGTGGCTGACGAGCGAGGGCCCCTTGGGGGGTCTCTTTCGGGTTCTGTGCCCTTACCTGAAGGAGAGCCATCCTGCACTTACCGGGCCGCTGCCGGCCACCTCGGAGCGGAGGGCGTCCCCCTTCTTCCACCCTGTGGCTCAGGTGAACGCCGCCATGGCCTTTCCCCATCGACCGGACGCCCCAGAGCTGCCTGACTTCTCCATGCTCAAGAGGCTGGCCCGAGACCAACTCATCTACCTGCTGGAGCAGGTCAGTGCCCGCCATGTCGGGGGCCTTTACTGCATGAGCAGTTTAGCACTCATTGGATGCCTAGTTCTTTCTTACTGAGTTCCCTTGAGCTTGCCTTGGTCCTTGGAGCTTCTGTGGCAGATCCAAAATGAAGCACTCACGGAGAAAAATCAGAGAGCAGTAAGAGCTTCTTGGGACGACCTGGCCAGAGTTATTGGAAACCCTTTTTTTTTTTTTTTTAAATACGGGCCAGGGAGACACCACTAGTGTCAGGCATCACTGGGGATGGAAACAGGGTTAAAACAACTTTGTCCTTAGGGATCTTACTTCCTGATCTATTCATAGCATTACTGGGAGCCATATGAAATACAAATTACCATACATAGGGTATCCTGTGGTAAATGAGTGACAGCTAGGGTGCATGAAACAGTCATTTCTAGCTGGAGTAATTTAGGAGTTTCGAGGACTGGAGTGTGAAGATAATCATACTTTCCTTGGAGATGGAAGAGGGTATTCCAGGCAGATGTACTGGTGGGAGCAAAGTTGAAGACCCAGGAAAGGACAAGGCATGTAATACATGGAAGAGAGGGATGAAAAATTACACAGTAGGCATTAAGTAGCTACTGAAGGTTTATCCCCGATCCCTGTGAATGTTTCAGTCTTGTTTCCCACCATTCCCCGACATCCAAGATTTCTCAACCTTGGTGACACTGACATTTGGGGCTGGTTAATTCTTTGTGGTGGGATTGTCCTGTGCATTGTAGGATATTTAGCAGCATCCCTAACCTCTACCAGTAACACCAGATGTCAGTAACACCCCTTGGCCCAAGGTGGGACAACCTAAATGTCTCCAGACTTTGCCAGATAGCCCCTGAAGTGCAAAATCAGTCCTGGTTGAGGACCACTGCCTACATGCACCTTACCCATCAGACAAACTGAACTGCCCTCACCATTCAGCCTGTTAGCTTTCCCTGGCCTTGGCTGAACTGTCATCTTGATCTGTCACTGCCTACAGCCTACCCATCTGTCAAAGTCATGTTGACAGGAAGCTTTCAATGACTTCACTCTCTCTTCTGCTAAGTGTGACCTCTCCTTCCTCTGGACAAATGAGAGAGCAGCATCAGGAATGGTGAAGCAGGAAGTGGGTGGGAGGATGAGGACTGTCCTGGGTTAAGTTTTCTGCCTTGAACATTGGTTCTTTTTGTAATTAGAAGTAAAATGCCATTTGAAGAGATATTTGGCAGTTAGTTGTGGGGTTGCAGGATACACAGTGCAGTTTTGTTTTGCTTGGCTTCGTTCAGCAGGAGATCAGTTGGTTTATCAGGAGATGTAGAGGAGGAGGCAGTGGAACAGAGGAGCAGTGATATAGAACAGGGTCACAGGCGAGCAGGAGGGTTGAGTGACAAGGATGTGACCTTAGAAAGAAGGTGAGGGACTTCCCAGGCAGTCCAGTGGTTAAGACTCTGAGCTTCAGTGCAGGGGGCATGGATTGGATCCCTGAGCAGGGAACTAGGATCCCACATGCTGCATGACCATAAAAAAAGATGAAATACCTTTCCACTAGAACCAATAATGAATAGAAGACAAAAATAGGTGAATATGTAGAGAAATGTCAACTGTGGATATAGACAATAAATAAGATGCTGGGTTAGGTGAGGTCTAGTGCCTTTCCAAAGAACTCAGAGTTTGTTTGTTTGTTTTTTTTAATAATTTTCTTTATTGGCTTGTGGCCGTGCTGGGTCTTTGTTGCTGCTCCTGGGGCTTTCTCTAGTTGTGGCAAGTGGGGACTCTTCTTGGTTGCAGTGCATGGGCTTCTCATCGTGGTGACTTTTTTTGTTGCACATCATGGGCTCTAAGGCATGCAGGCTTCAGTAGTTGTGGCACACGGGCTTAGTTGTTCCATGGCATGTGGAATCTTCCTGGACCAGGAATCAAACCCATGTACCCTGCATGGGCAGGTGGATTCCTATCCACTGTGCCACCAGGAAGTCCCTAGCTCAGAGACTTCTATTAAATGGATGACTGAGGGGCTTGTGTGACCTGAGAGTGAGCCAAGATACTGTGTCTCCTTCAGCTTCCAGGAAAGAAAGACTTGTTCATTGAGGCAGATCTCATGAGCCCTTTGGATCGAATCGCCAATGTCTCCATCCTAAAGGTACCTTGCTCCCTTTCCCAGGTGGATCAGGCCCCTCTTTCCTCATTAAGCAGTTTTTCTTTTGATGAATAGTACAAATTACTGAGGAGTGACTACCCTTCTAGGGTAACTATAGGATGGCAGAGTTGAGTGGACTGGAGCGGGGGGCGGGGTGGGGGGGGATTGATCCTCTTCGTATTGTTTTTAAATTATTTAAATGTTGATTTTTCTACTGACAGTTTAAGGAAGGTTCAGTGGAATGGTTGTTAGGGAGGCCTTTTGACTCCTAGAGTTAGTGTAAATAGGAGGAAGCCCTTTCAGAAGCCCCCTGTCTTTGCATCAGGCTTCAGGTTCCCAGGCACACTTACTTCCGTTGTCTCCTTTGATCCCTGTCTGTAGCAGCACGAAGTAGACAAACTGTACAAAGTGGAGAAGAAGCCGGCTCTCAGCTCCAGTGAACAGTGAGTCCGGGAACCTCGGGCTCTGCTCCAGGCTGGAGGGGGGCCCTGAGTGTGTGCCTTTGATCCGTCCTGGGCTGAGATCTACCCCATGACGTTTGTGATAGCAAAACATTCACTTCCCTGCACTTTTACAGTTTCATCCCTAGTTATGCTTTAGCCTTCTAATTGGTCTCCTTGTCTGCAGTTTCTCCCTCCCTGGTCCTCTTCTCTCTCTAACCCAATCTACCAGTTCTAACCACATTGATTGAAAAGAAAGTGAAAAAGTTGCTCAGTCTTGTCCGACTCTTTGCAACCCCATGGACTGTACGGTCCTTGGAATTCTCCAGGCCAGAATACTGGAGTGGGTATCTTCCCAACCCAGGGATTGAACCCAGGTCTCCTGCATTGCAGGTGAATTCTTTACCAGCTGAGCCACAAGGGAAGCCCAAGAATACTGGAGTGGGTAACCTATCCTTTCTCCAGAGGATCTTCCCGACCCAGGAGTTGAACCAGGGTCTCCTGCATTGCAGGCGGATTCTTTATCAACTGAGCTATCAGGGAAGCACCCTCCTACCACATTGATTAGTCTTTCACAAATAATTTCCTTGTGATCTCCTCCAGAACCTTCAAGCCTTCCCTTACTTACCCACTAAGGTCTGCATTGCTCATCATAGATTCCAAAGCTGTCTCCCAGAAGGCCTTTCACCTTCTTTCCAGCCTGGCCTCTTGCACATCCCCTCTTACCTGATGCACTTTCACGTGTTTCCCTGCTCTATGCACAAACCTCCTCGCTGTTCTCGTGACAGACACCTAGCCTCAGAGCCCAGCCCCGCCTCCTCCACAGAGCCACGCCAGGGTCGCCACCCCGGGGTGATTGTCTCCTCCCCTGGATTTGCATGGAGCTCAGTGTTTGTCCTGTTCACCTGGCACTCAGCCACATGCTGCCTGGCATTTGTCTGGCGTTTGTTTTTATTTTCAGTATTTCTCAATTTAAGTCACGTACACCCTCAGAGGAAAAAACCCCCCTAGATACATGGAGAAAAACATTATGTCATATACTTCCTCTTATTATTTTTGAATACTTGTTAATGTACTCCATGCATAGGTGTGTCTTATTTTGCCCAATAAACTGTAAATTATTTGAGAGCAGAAACTTCTGGGTCCACCATAAGGCCAATAAGTACCCCCAGCTCATCACAATATACCTGCTTTATGATTTTTAATTGGAGGATAATTGCTTTACAATGTTGTTTTGGTTTCTGCCGTACAACAGCGTGAATCAGCCTCAAGTATACCTATGTCCCCTCCCTCTTGAACCTCCCTCCTGTCCCCCACCCCATCCCACCCCTCTGGGTTGTCACAGATCACCGGACTGAGCTCCCTGTTATTCAGCAGCTTCCTACTAGCTATCTCTTTTACATGTGGTAGTGGATATATTTCGATGCTCCTCTCTCAGCTTTTCCTACCCTCTCCTTCCCCTGCGATGGCCACAAGTCTGTTCTCTACCTCTGCATCTCTGTTCCTGCCCTGCAAATAGGTTCTTCTGTACCTATACCTGCTTTACTGAGGGGAGTCTTCTGTGGTGAGTCAGCCAAGAAAGCTGGCCTGGCTTTGGCCGGGGTGAGAACTGTAGCACATGGTGGAAGAGTTGGCATTACTATCACCAACTTCATGATTTTTCTTCACTAGGAGTTTTTCCCCCTTCTCTCCCATAGGTTGTGCTTCCTGGTCAGACCTCGCATCAAGAATATGCGGTACATTGCCAGTGAGTGTGTCACAGCGTTCACTGTCACTAAGGCCCGGGGGAGGGTGGGAACGCCTGAGGGCCACGGCCATAAGAACAGAATTGTTCGTGTTGGCCATGCCCCTCATCGAGGCTCTTCACTTCCTTGCTTCTAGTCTAACATAAGGCCCATGGCTTTCTGCGCTGCATCCCTTCTGTCTGTAGGTCTTGTCAATGCTGACAAAGTGGCTGGCCGAACTCGGAAATACAAAGTGATCTTCAGTCCTCAGAAGGTGAGTTTGGACCCATGTGGGAGTGAGATAAGGTAGAAGAGCATGGGAGACTGGGACGGGGTAAGGGACCAACAGCTGGATCTCCTTCTAAGCGAATTCTGTGTGACTGAACAAAATACCTGCCATTGTCTTTTTATTAATGTAGCAGAGAGTCTCCTATCAAATTACCCCAAATACAGATTGTACAGTGGTGAGAGGTGGCCTCTACATGTGAGTGTGTATATGCTTGGTTGTGTCTGACTCTCTGTGAGCCCATGGACTGTAGGCCTCCAGGCTCCTCTGACCATGGCATTCTCCAAGCAAGAATATTGGAGTGGGTTGCCATGCCTTCCTCCAGGGGATCTTCCCGACCCAGGGATCGAACTTGAATCTCCTGTCTTTTGCATTTCAGGTGGATTCTTTTACCACTGTGCCACCTAGGAAGCTATCCTGTTTAGGAATATAAATATATGAAATATAACATTATTACTAGGGCAAGAAAATTATTGAGTAAAATAACCAATCAGGATTACAGGTTACTTTTTAATGGTATTGGAGAGGACTCTTGAGAGTCCCTTGGACTGCAAGGAGATCCAACCAGTCCATCCTGAAGGAGATCAGTCCTGGGTGTTCATTGGAAGGACTGATGCTGAAGCTGAAACTCCAATACTTTGGCCACCTCATGCGAAGAGTTGACTCATTGGAAAAGACCCTGATGCTGGGAGGGATTGGGGGCAGGAGGAGAAGGGGACGACAGAGGATGAGATGGCTGGATGGCATCACCGACTCGATGGGCATGAGTTTGAGTACTCTCTGGGAGTTGGTGATGGACAGGGAGGCCTGGCGTGCTGTGATTCATGGGGTCACAAAGAGTTGGACACGACTGAGTGACTGAACTGAACTGAAAGGAGCTATAGCAGTAATTTCTAGTTTTTGGAGTCTTGCAGAACCCTTTTTTTCCAGTTATACTTCCAAGGACAGATTTGTTTAGATAGGGAAGAGAATAGGTTGGTAACAGTTTCAAATAATGCTGCAAGCCTCCATAACACACAGAAAAACAAAACTGATATTTTAATGAATTTTTTTCTTTCTAACACCCTATCTAAGCAAATTCTTTGACCTGATTTTCCATCACAGGACAGTCTCTTCTTTAGTGGCTGTAAGGGAAGAGGAGATCTCTTTCTTCCTGAGCTCCCTCTGTTAATTATGAAGATTGGCAGTTTTCCAAGTGGGCAAAGGAATCTCATTAGTTAGAATTAAAAATAGGCCTATAGGATTTCAGTTTTTATTTATTTGGTTGGGCAGGGTCTTGGTTGTGGCATGCTGCATCTTTAGTTGATGCATGTGGGATCTAGATCCTTGACCAGGGATCGAACCTGGGCCCCCTGCATTGGGAGCCTGACAGAGACATCACTGGATTTGACCACAGAGATCTAGGGCATCTAGATAAAAAGATGAAGGTGGGTGTGAAGAAGCAGAAGCAGTGGTAGCAGATAATTCTTCACAAACCCAGTGATGTCTGTGTCGGGCTCTTCTACCTAACATCTCTGGCGTTGGATACGGCTGCCCATTCTTCCTTGAACCTCTGCCTTTAGAGGTGCTATTTAGAGGCGCTCGTTTCTCTGTTCCAGTCTCTGTGTATTCTTTCTTAACCTTCTCTGGAAGGTCTTGGACTGTGCACTCTTAATTTTGGTTCCCTAGAGTCCTGTCCTTAGCTCTCTTTTCTGTGTTCTTTTGAATAAACTACATTAAATGTAATGTAGGTGCCATGAACCCCAAGGCTGTCTGTCCAGACCTCCCCCAGGTGTCTGCAGAGGTCCCATGGACATGTCCTAACCAGAACTCCATCCCTCCCCTCTCCGCCCCACTGCTCTTTACCTCCACCTGCTCCTCTTCCTCTGTTTCTGTAGCACTGTCACGCCCTGCTTCCAAGCTCTACCTGCCGGACTCACCCTTCCATGACAGCTGAATACCCTCTCCTTTGTAAAGCTTTTCTAGTCAATCAGGAAGAAAAGAGCAATTGACTTAAATAGATAAAATGGATGGAAAGGAAACATAGTGTTAGGCCAGATGATTCCAGTGGTCCGTTCTAGATCTAAGAGTCTGGGTTCTCTTGTCTTTTTCCCTGGATTCAGTAACTGTGGTCATCATCAGTGACCACAGAGGAATCCAGAGAAGTGGAAAGAACAGAGAAGGGGGTTACTAACCAGCTTCCCTTGGTCTTTCAGTTTTACGCGTGTGAGATGGTGCTTGAGGAAGAGGGCGTCTATGGAGGTGAGAGGAGACGGGTGTGAGTGGAAAGGGGGAGGATGTGTGGGAGCAGGCCCTGAGGGTTGTCCCCCTGCCGTATCTCCTCCTTTTCACTCTCTGTCTCATTCCTGTTGGCCTGGCAGGAGGAGAGTGTCCTTAGAGTGCGAAGAAGGACCCCAGGTTAGGCCACTAGTGGGAGAGTAAGGAAGGGGTCCTGGGGGTGTAGTTGGAAACCACCCGTGCTCTCTTCTTCCCTCCCAAGACCCCCACAAGGAAACAGTGTGCCTTCCCTCCTCGTGTGCAACACAGACCTGGTCCCCAGTCCTTCCTGCTGGAAATCCTGCTCAGCATACAGCCCAGAACCCTCTGTGTGGCCTCCTGCACCTCTGCGGTCTGGCCCCTTCCTGCCCTTTAGACTCATGTGTGCTCCGCTCTCCTGAGTCACCGCCCTCCAGCCATGGGGACTTCACACATCTGTTCCCCTTGCCTAGAATATTCCTCACTCTGCAGCTTGCCTGCCTGAATCACACTCGAATTCTAGGCCTAAATGTCACTTCTTCAGGGAAGTCTTTCCTGTATCCCCAGTTGGGGTTAGATCCGTGAGCTGTTTGTGCTCTTAGGTTGCTGTTTCTTCTTTGGAGCCTGCAGCTGGAATCCCGTTTGTCTGCTGTGCACCCTCCCACTTCACTATAAGCTCCAGAAGTCAGGAGCGTGTCCCCAGTAGCCTAGTGCCTGTACATACACAGCTTTCAGTCAGTACTGTCAGATGATGCATAGATGAGTAAATGTTTCATTGGCATTTTTGGTCAGCACTCTAATGGAAACACACCACTTGCCACATTGTATTACAGGCTGTCACAAACACACGTCCTCTCCTTATCAGCCTGTGAGCCCCTTCCGGGCAGAGACTGTATCTTACTCATCTCTGAGCATCCCGTGCTGAGTGTGGTACCTGAGGCAGTGGGGCAGGCCCTCGGGAAGTCTTGCATGACTGCAGTGGACCTTCCCTCTTCATGTGGAGCCGCGTGTCTTAGGCAGGAAGGCTGACGCTCTCTGTACCCACAGATGTGAGCTGTGACGAATGGGCCTTCTCTCTCTTGCCTCTTGATGTGGATCTGTTGAGCATGGAACTACCAGAGTTTTTCAGGGACTACTTCCTGGTGAGTGCGAGGCACTCGGGTCTTGACATCAAGGAGTGGGGACAAACATGGGGTCCTGTGGGCTCTGGATTCAACCTTCTTCCAGCTCATCTCATGTATCACAAGTGATACTGATTTGGAGGTGGAATGCTGCTGACTGATACTCATGAGGCTTCCTTTGGGGCCAATGAAAATGAACCCTCTGGGCATTGCCAAAACCCTGCCCTTCTGCTCCGGGGCTTCTAGGCCTCGCCCCTTTCCAGATGAATCTGTCAGGTTGATCTATAGCTTGGTGGCCCACGTGGTCCCTTCAGGAAGGAGATCAGCGTTGGATCAACACTCTGGCACAAGCTTTGCACCTTCTCAGCACCCTCTATGGACCCTTCCCCAACTGCTATGGAATTGGCAGGTGTGCCAAGGTGAGCAGTTATGTTGCCCAGATAGCCCGTTTTTCACCCATTTTCTGCCCACTAAGGATTATTTGAGGGCATCTGTGATGTGATGTAGAGGCTTTTGTTGCTCCAGAAGAGGTCCCCAGAGCAGAGAACTCATGTGGCTAACAGAACAGCAGGACACCCCTGGGTAGCATTCCTAAATATTTGAGGGCAATGAGACTCCTTCACTGCTGGGGGGAAGGATGGGGAGGGATGGGAGCAGATGGAGTAGAAGAGGTAATCATGTTATGATGAGCTCTTCCTTGGGGTCAATGAGAAGGATTGCATGGAACGGGTTGGGTTCTGTAGGTGTGGGGCTGCAGAAGGGACCTGGACTCAAGACTGAGGACGTGTTGGGCCCTAGCAGATGTCGTATGAACTGTGGAAGAGACTGGAAGAGGAGGAGGATGGTGAAACCAAGGGCCGAAGGCCAGAAATTGGACATATCTTTCTCTTGGACAGAGGTGAGCTGTGCTCAGCACTCCTCTCTTCCGTGCACCCGAGAAGACATAGGAATATTACAAATATAGCAGACACGGTGGCACAGTTGGAATCCTCCAGTGGGGTCTGTGAATGCCAGCATTAACCAGGGCAGCGTGGGCACTTGGGCCCCATGGATACTGAGCTAATTGGGTGGTAGGCTAAGTTAAGGAAGACCCTCACGGTTGGGGATCTCGATTTCAGACATGGACTTTGTGACGGCACTTTGCTCCCAGGTGGTTTATGAGGGCCTGGTGGATGACACTTTCCGCATCAAGTGTGGTAAGTGGCATCTCGGCGAGACAGAGGTGTGCTCGAGTCCTTGGGCTTCCCCGGGGGAGGACTTGTGGGGGAGACTCAGGCTCAGAGTGAAATGCTGGCTTCCAAATGGTTTGTTGTGTGTTTTATTGCAAAGTCTGACTCCTTTATGACCGCGTGGACTGTAGCCCACCAGGCTCCTCTGTCCATGGGATTTCCCAAGCAAGAATTCTGGAGTGGGTTGCCATTTCCTCTTCCAGGGAATCCTGGATCAGGGATCAAACCTGCATCTCCTGCATTGGCAGGTGGATTCTTTACCACTGAGCCACCGCTGTGTGCTCAGTCGTGTCCGACTCTTTGAGACCCCATGGGCTGTAGCCCGCCAGGCTCCTCTGTCCAAGGAATTTTCCAGGCAAGGATACTGGAGTGGGTAGCCATTTCCTACTCCATGGGGCACCAGGGAAGCCCCCAAATAGTTTCGGGGACCTTTAACTCATTTTGTTTTTTTTGCCCTGCTTGTGGGATCTTAGTTGCCTGACCAGAGAGTGAACCCAGGCCCCTCCAGAGTCCTAACTGCCAGGACTGCCGGGGAAGTCCTGGGGAGACCTTTCATGGCAATTCAGAAAAGGGTGGGGAGGAAGGCTTCGTTGGAGATCCTCAGAGCTATCCCCTCTGCTCTCAAAGGGAGTGTTGACTTTGGCCCAGAAGTCACGTCCTCTGACAAGAGCCTGAAGGTGCTGCTCAATGCCGAGGACAAGGTGAGCACACGGGTGCCCGCAGACGATTTCCCAGGCCGCTGCCACCAGGAGGCTGAGGGCCCTGGTGCTGGGAGGGGAGGCCGAGTCCCAGCGAGAAGGCCACCCTGCCAGCTGAGCGGGCACCCCAGGGCGCACAGCAGGGATCGGACACATCCTTATCGAAACCGGCTCAGCCTTCTCTGCTAGAACCGCTGAGTGTGCGCCCTGTGCTGTCACTGCGCCGAGCAGGCAGGAAGACGGGGGGTCCAAGTCTATGCAGTCATCTGTTCCTGCCGCATTCCCCCCACAGGTGTTTAATGAGATTCGGAACGAGCACTTCTCCAATGTCTTCGGCTTCCTGAGCCAGAAGGCCCGGAACCTGCAGGCCCAGTATGACGTGAGGCTCCCGCCCGGGGCCTCTGTCTGTTCCCTCGGCGGCTCCCCAGGCTGCTGCCTCCCTGATGCTACCGCAGCGGGGGGTGGGACCTGCGGGAGGGCAGTGGTCACCCCCGTGTGAGGGCAGAAGGCCTGACCTCTCGGGCACGTCCCCACAGCGCCGGAGAGGCATGGACATCAAGCAGATGAAGAACTTCGTGTCTCAGGAACTCAAGGGACTGAAACAGGAGCACCGCCTGCTGAGCCTCCGTACGTTTCAGCTTGAGGCCAGGGTGAGGGGAGGGCTGCAGGGGAGCTCTGCCTCTGGGAGGAGATCCCATTCATCTATCAAATAGTGCTTTTTAAAAAAAAAAAAAATTTTAATAATATCAGTGTTTCTGGTTGCTTTTTTAAAAAATTATTTATTTGGCTGCACTGGGCCTTAGTTGTGGCACGTGGGACCTAGTTGACCAGGGATCGAACCTGTGCCCCCCTGCATTGGGAATGTTAGCCACTGGACCACCAAGGAAGTCCCAAATAGTGCTCTTATTCTGAAATGGGAAGAAGGGCTCCTGCCCTTTGCCTGAAGAAGTTTTTATTCTCCTGGACAGTAAAGCGACCTCCTTCCATAAACAGGAATGTGTCTGCTCCCCTATTGTCCCATCTGCAGATATCGGGGCCTGTGAATCCATCATGAAGAAGAAAACCAAGCAGGACTTCCAGGAGCTCATCAAGACTGAGCATGGTGACTTGGCTGCCTCTCCTGCTTCTGCTCTTGGACTCCCAGCCCCAGCCCGCCCTGAAGACATGTTCTGTGGCACTTTCCAGCTGATGGTGGCCATGTGGAATGCTGGTTCCTGCTAGAAGTCCTGGGGGCCCCTTAACCCACCCCAAAAGGATGGAGAAAGAGACGGGGAGACAGACGCTCATTAGCATAGATGGCAACAAGCTGAGCCACTCCCCCAGTAACAGGTTCTCCTCTGATTCCTTGCAGCGCTACTGGAGGGGTTCAACATCCGGGAGAGCACCAACTACATTGAAGAGCACATCGACCGGCAGGTGAGGCGGGGCTCAAGCAGAGGGAAGAAGAGAGAACGTGTGTTATGAAACTTGAATTCTCCGTGACTCTTTCTTCCTGTGCAGGTGTCACCCATAGAAAGCCTCCGTCTTATGTGCCTTTTGTCCATCACGGAGAATGGTGAGTCCCAGGGACCAAAGGTTGAAGAGCTGTACCTTAGGGACAGAAAAAGTCATTTTGAAAGAAAGAGAAATGTCCTAACAGACAGAACATTCATTCCCCTGTAATCTCATGGATTCTTTCCCCTGTAATAAAGTAGGTTTTTGTTTGGGGTGAAACACCCCCAGGTCATTAAGGTAATTTATCGTGCCAGCTCTAAGAGCATCTGCATCTAGTTCTCTTCTCTGCAGTAAGGCCTGTCCCATCATAGGACTGTAAAGGGCAGAGCTGAGCAACATGTCTCTCGTTATTCCATCTGGCCTCCTACCCTCAACACGATTTCATAATTAAGATACAGTTCAGGAAAAACCAATTTCATAAGCATTTTAGAAGCTCGGATTCTGAACTCTTCATGGCAACTTGTTCTGAGTGTTGAAGTCTTCCAGTTTAAAAATATCATTATTATTATTTTAATTTGTTTATTTTTGGCTGCACTGGGTCTTTGTTGCTTCAGGGTTCTCTTGTTGTGGCACATGGGCTTAGCACGTGCCCCCTGCGTTGGCAGGTGGATTCCTAACTGCTGGACCACCAGGGAAGTCTCAGCAAATATTCTTTAAGGTTACTTTTTACCCAAAGAAGTCATTTGCTTATTCTAAATCCCCCTTATTGTAGTTGGAAGCCCATTTCCTCTTACATCTAAGTTCCCTGTTGCACTTTGGGAACTCATGTGGACACCTCTCCCATTCCTCACTTGCTATTAAGCAGTTCCCGGGAGGACTGGCCCCTAGCCAGGGAAACACACGCACAGGAAGGCCCTTCTCCCCGTGCTTGCATTCCCCTCCCCCACCCCCCATGGATGAGATTGGCATTCATCAGTGTCCCTTCTCCAGGGCTCTTCCTTGGAACCCTCAGATCCAGGCTTTATCTTTCAAAAAGCAGGCTTCAGTTCAGGAGTCAATTTAGAATTGACTGCATAGGATGCAAAGTTAACATGAAGTCCAACTCCTTCCTTCTCATTAGGGTTTGTGTTTTTTCTTCTGTGGGGAGGAGGGTTTGTTGGTTGGTGGGTTTGGCTGTACACGTTAGGACACCTCAACTGGCTCCTAAACCTTTACTTTTCTTACCCTCAGGTTTGATCCCCAAGGATTACCGATCCCTGAAAACCCAGTACCTGCAGGTAAGGCCAGGAGAATGTGTTCTCGAGGGAATTTGGTGGACATTTTTGAAAGAGTTGAAGAAGAAATAGCTCCTTTCCGGCCCTGGTCACCCTTCTGTTGCCATGCGGCCTCCCTCTCAGCACAGACACCCTTCCCACCACCCTCATTTCACTCTGCTCCCCGCTTTATGTGGCTAGTGTGGGAGGGAATTTGAACAGTTCAGCTGTTGGAACCAGTGGTGAGTTCTTGCCCTTGGACTCTCCCTTCCTTTAGCTCCTTGTGCCGCATCTATACAGCTTTCCTTCCAAGTCCTTCTCAAGTTCTGCCTTCTCTGTGAAGCCTTCCCCACCTCCTTCCATCCATAATTTTCTGTGTTGTTTCATGCTGCTTTTATTTTTTGTTTGGCGTTTGGTTATTTCTAATGTGACTTCCCCAGCACAGCACTGTGAAGCACTTATCCCCCGATTGAAAAAACAAAAAAATTCTTCCCCACAAACAAGTGTGGGCTTTTCAGGACACAGATCACATAATCCTCCTCTCCCCCACCTCCGTATCACCTCACAGGGCTAGGCCCTTGGTGGATGCTTGGTAGAGAGCTGAATTGCATTTTGTTCAGAGCTATGGCCCCGAGCACCTGCTGACCTTCTCCAACCTGCGGCGAGCTGGGCTCCTAACAGAGCAGGCCCCGGGAGACACCCTCACAGCCGTGGAGAGTAAAGTGAGCAAGCTGGTGACGGACAAGGCCGCAGGTGAGCAGGGAGTGCAGGTAGCCCCGTCTGCCCTCCCTGGTCCTCGGTGCCTCATCTCTCAACAGGCGGAGCACTCTGGGCAAGGGGAGAATGAGCTGGGGAAGAAGGTGATTCCTTACTGTCACTGTCCTTACCGCCACTCCTGCTTTCTTGTTAGAACAGCTTCAAGTTAGTGAACACTGATGTGCTAAGCCTTTTAGATATACTTTCTCATGTAATCCTCCCGAACCTTCTTCATGGTAAGTTGTATTATTTCCATTTTACACATGAGGAAACCAAGGCAGAGGGAGGTTAAGTGACTTGTTCAGGGCCCCTCAGTCAGTCCGGTTTGACTCCAAAGGCCACACACTTAAGCAGTAAACTGTAGATCACCCTATGGATTGCATTTAGTAGAGAGTTGGTCCCCTATAGAAGGAGGAAGACTGGGTGAGGAGAGAAAGGCAGTGAATGTCTTGATCAATTTCAGGTGATCGGCTGTAGGTGTAGGTGATCAGCTTGAGGAGGGTCTTCAGATGTGATAGGTCCTGCTCTTTGAGGATAGGCGGTCCTGTCACTTCCTGAATGGTATCACCCACACAGCATCGTTAATCCATAAACCTTAGATAAAACCCGGCACAAATTTCTTTCCCAGGAAAGATTACTGATGCCTTCAGTTCCCTGGCCAAGAGAAGCAATTTCCGAGCCATCAGCAAGAAGCTGAACTTGGTATGTGGATCAGAAGTGGGTAGGGGAGGCAGTGGGTTCAGTCCTTTGTGGAGTACTTGAGCCCACAAAATGCTTTCTGTTACTTTGCTTTTATAAAGATCCTTTTGTTTGGGGACTTCCCTGGTGGTTCAGTGGTTCAGACTCCATGCTTCTAAAGCAGAGGTGCGGGTTCAGTCCCTGGTTGGAGAGCTAAGTGTCCACATGCTATCAAAATGCAGCCAAAAACTAAAAATTAAAGGAAAAAAAGAAGATTCTTTTGTTCGGTAGCATTATAGCATGAGCTTACTTTAATAATGAGACAAAACACAAAGGTTCATTCATTTAGTAAACATGTAACACACACCTACGAGTATCAGAATGTGGCAAGTGCTGCTTCAGTGACAGGCGTGTCCCATGTCACTGCTGGAGGGTCACAAAGGGGCACTCTTGCCAGGGCACATGGGCCCTCATTCAGCAGAACTGGCAGGTACTGAACAGCTTCTGTCTTTGATTATGGAGTCTTCCCCACCCCCCGCCCCCGCAAGGCTATTGCTGCTTCTCCCTTTAGTTGAAGTAAGAACAGCTCTTGGGGATATACCACTTTCCTCTGACTGTAAAGCACTGGAAGGCTGAGTTGCCACTTGCCGCCTGCATTCCCCTTTACCCTCCAGATCCCACGCGTGGATGGCGAGTATGACCTGAAAGTGCCGCGTGACATGGCGTACGTGTTCAGCGGTGCGTACGTGCCCCTCAGCTGCAGAATCATCGAGCAGGTGAGAACGTGGCCCCCTCCCATTCATATTTCATGCTTTCTGCTTTCTCTTACTCCCTGGCCTGGGTCAGAGCTCATAGCCCAGCCTGGCCTGGCCCAGCTTGTAACTACCTGAGCAACTAGCAAGGAACGTGACAGTCTGGCTACGGCTGGACTTGAACCTAGCGCTTGTGCCTTCCCAGGTGCTGGAGCGACGGGGCTGGCAGGGCCTGGACGAAGTGGTGCGGCTGCTCAACTGCAGTGAGCTGGCCTTCACAGGTGCATGGCCTTCCTTGCCCAGTGGGGGCGGGTGGAACAAGGGGAGGGCCTGATGCACTGCCCAGTATGAGCCTGCATGGCCAGTGAAGAGCTGAGTCTGGTCCGGTCTTTGCAGACATGACCAAGGATGACAAGGCCTCCAGCGAGTCCCTGCGTCTCATCTTGGTGGTGTTCTTGGGTGGCTGCACGTTCTCTGAGATCTCAGCCCTCCGGTTCCTGGGCAGAGAGAAAGGTGAGAACAGGCCTCCATGGGATCTGGGGGGCCAAGGGCAGACCTCAGGAAGGCTTCTTTAGAGGCCTCTGGGTACTACCTGCTGCCATCTTGCTGGGGGCTGAATAGCAGGGAGCCCGGTTCCACCCAGCGTGGCAAGTTGCTGGGCCCGAGAGCGTGGTGCTGGTGTACCTGTGACTACAGACTGGTGCTCTGACCCAGCCCGGGCTGTGGACCTGGAGGGGCCCCACATGGCTGGTGTCAGGGGCTCAAATCTGCCCTCGGTCACGTTCGGTGGTGCTTTTACTCCTTAGGGTACAGGTTCATTTTTCTGACAACAGCAGTCACCAACAGTGCCCGCCTCATGGAGGCCATGAGTGAGGTGAAAGCCTGAAGTTTTCCCTGCCAGTGTTGATGTCTTCCCTGGACGTGTTCCTCAGTGGGATGCAGGAGTCTGACTCCCAGCTGCTAAGAAAATGTCTAACAACTACCCTCCTAAGAGCTGGGGAGCAGGGAACTTACTTAGGATCTAGAGGACCTATCTGAGGAGAGAGTTCACCTTCTTCCCCCAGGAAGTTTCTTTTTTGTTTATGAAGTACAGCCCCTGCTAGTAAGATAAGGAGGATCTTTCGCTAAATCCTCTTTGAGTATCATTGTAAATAAAGCCTCTACTCTCAATGTATCATGTTTAGTTCTGGACAGGCACTTCCACAGTTTATTGGGGGGAGGTGGAAGGGGCTGTATATAGCAGATTCGTGTGCCCCGCGGCCAGGACTGGGTAGTTGCTCTGGGCCTGGTCTGTTTCTTCCTTGAAACTTGTGCTGTAATTCACTTTCCTCAATCATAAAACCGGGATTAGATGATCAGTAAGCACCCTTCCAATTCTAAAATTCTGTGATTCATTGTATTTTAGGAAAAATGAATTTGCGAGGCGCTTGAATTCTAAGCCTTCGGTTTCTCATTGCAGAAGGAAAGATTGTACCCCCGCTTAGAGCAGTTTTAGGCACTGTGCTCCTCTAAAGGCCACTAGTGCCCCTGTAAGTGCTAATTCTAATGGCCTCGCTTTCCCTTCACCCTTTAAAAATGGTGAACTCTAACCACCGTCTGTTAGTGGTTTGTCTTCTAACTTGATCTTACTCTTAATCCCCTTTTCCTTCTTGTAAGGCTTCCATGACAATTTTCTCCTCCTGTGTCTCCTGGGCTGCATTTCCATCTCCTTTGTTTCCTGTCTGTGGATCCTCCTCTGTTGCCATCTCCTTCTCTGTCTTGTGTTGTTATCCGCTTGCCCATCTCAAGCTTTTGTCTCACTGCTGAACTTCACGCTGTTATTTCCAACGTGATCATTCCATGGGCAGTGGAAATTCAGCACGTCTAAAATAAACTCTCAAACTGAACTTCGTGTCGCCACGTGGGGCCCCTAAACCTGCTCCTCTTCCTCTGTTTCCCTAATTGACATTCTCATCTTCTGCCCTAGTTTTGTTCATGCAAGAAATTATATCCTTGACCTTAGATTTTTTTTCTTTTTATCCACTACATTCAGCTGGTCCCCCTACCCATTATTTCTAAATGCTTCTAGTTCATTTCTCTTCACCATCCCCATGGCAGATGTACTTGTTTTTGGCCCGGGCTTTTTGCAAAACTGTCCTTTCCAGTTGTTTCGCCTCCAGTCTGTTCCCCAGTCCACAGCGCTGCCACTTCTTAAAAGAAAGATCAGGGGCTTCCTGGTGGTCCAGTGGTTAAGAATCTGCCCTGCAATGCAGGGGATACAAGTTCGATCCCTGGTCAGGGAACCAGGATCCTACATACCTCAGAGCAACTAAGCATGCATAACTAAAGTTATGCCAGAATGAAAGATCCCGTGTCTGAAACCCAATACAGCCAAATAAATAAATTTAAAAAATAAAAGAAGAAGACCCAAACCTGTGTTGTTAGGTCATCAAAAGTATTCTTTCCACAGGAAAATGACAATGCTGTGTTGAAATTCCAAGGAAAATGCATATCTCAAGTATCTAGCTAGAAGCTTGACAGTGTTAAACTAAACTAGTGTGCAAGATCAGAGACACTGCTGACAGCACTGTTAGTTTGTAAAAAGAATTGAACAGTCAGAAAAACATTCTTTGGCCAAATGAATAAATGGTAGCAGTGAACTGCACTTAAATTCTAGAACAGTGCAGTTTGATAGGACCATAATATGATCCTTTTGTATACATACATTTCAAAGTGTTTTACATGCTGAGTATGTGCCCTGAATTATCTTTCAGCGGTTCTATGACTTTGTTAGTTTCAGAACTACAGTGTAAAGCACATGATAGCAAAATTGTCTTATCTCTGAAAACTTACAACCCAGGCCACTTGTCTGAAGATCACGTTTTTGATGCTTTCTGGAAAACTCAACTTGATCAACAAAGAGAGCAAGAAAATTTAAAAAGTGGTACCTGTAAGCCACATAGTGGTGCGAATGTTTGGCACACTGCTAACAAGTTAGATCCAACGAGTCCATCCTAAAAGAGATCAGTCCTGGGTGTTCATTGGAAGGACTGATGCTGAAGCTGAAATTCCAGTACTTTGGCCACCTCATTCGAAGAGTTGACTCATTGGAAAAGACCCTGATGCTGGGAGGGATTGGGGGCAAGAGGAGAAGGGGATGACAGAGGATGAGATGGCTGGATGGCATCACCGACTCGATGGGCATGAGTCTGAGTAAACTCCAGGAGTTAGTGATGGACAGGGAGGCCTGGCGTGCTGCGATTCATGGGGTCGCAAAGAGTCGGACACGACTGAGCGACTGAACTGAACTGAACAAGTTAAAGGATGTTGAAAGCAACAGTGAAGTTGCTTCAACAGTGAAGAAAAACAGTCATGAAGGTTAAGCAAACAAGCACCCTTTACTTTTCTTTCATGGAAAAGGCAAATGAAGAGAATTCACAGACACTACTGTTGGCCAATAAACATGGGGGAAATGTGCAATTTCCATTATTATCAAGCAAGCAACGATTCTTATCAAGCAAAGAAATGTCACAAGGACAGCAGTACTCCATGCTGCTGAGGGTAAAGAAGGTATTCTTCCAGCGAGGATGCCTTGGTGGTGAGGGCAAATGAATAAATACAACCTGTCTGGAGAGGGAGCATAAAGTAATTACACTTCTAGGAACTAACCCTAAGAAAGAATGCAAGATGCAGAGATTGAGGTATGAAAACATTTATCTGTACAAATAACACCTAAATATTCATCAACTGTAAAAGAGCTGAATTATGAATTGACACGACCATATATTACACAACCATGAAAAAGTGATATGTAAGCATTGAGTGCTTTCCTGGTGGCTCAGATGGTAAAGAATCTGCCTGCAATGTGGGAGAACTGGGTTCGATCCCTGCGCTGGGAAGATTCCCTGGAGGAGGGCATGGCAATCCACTACAGTATTCTTGCCTGGAGAATCCCCAGAGACAGAGGACCCTGGCAGGCTACAGTCCATGTGGTAGCAAGGAGTCGGACACGACTGAGCACAGCGCACAGCTGCAAGCAACTTCGTCGAGTTTTGAGTCTAATTTTTCATAGGACAATTACATAAACCCATGTAGTTTTAAAGAAAACCACGATCCAGGTAATCTCATTTATTTACCAATCGTTCCCTGGTAAGTCACAAACCTTTTGGAGATACTTCCTTCTGGAGAACGGCGGTGTTTACCTAGCAGGATGGTTGGGCCTCCCAGTGGTTCAGTGGTAACGGATCCGCCTGCCAATGCTGGAGAGGCAGGTTGGATCCCATGGACAGAGAAGCCTGGCAGGCCATTGGGGTCGCAGAGTCGTACACTACTTAGCGACTAAACAACAACAAAAACAGGATGGTTGGGAAGATTAAATGAGATCACTAGAAAAGCACCGGCCGGTGAGCAAGGTCCAACGTCACTCCCTCTCCCCTTTAGGTCCTGCTTTCCTCTATCTGGGGAAACGGCCACCAAAGCTCGGTCTCCAGGACTGCTGCCTGAAAGAACGAGGGAAACACATTAAGGCGCCAGGCTTTCTGTGACTCCTGCTCCCGTCACCTCGCCGGCCAAGGGCGGCAATGCGTTTTAAACGCACCATACCAGGGAGACGGGGAGACTCGGCGGTCTCTAGGCGGAGACGCGCACTTTGAAAACCGCGCCCAGTGCGCAGGTCCCCCGCCCCAAACCGCGGCGCGCCGGTGGGCGGGGCGAGGGCGGGGCTTCACGAGGAGCGACGGGACAGGGCACCAATCGCGGGGCTTTTACCGCCTGCGGTTCGGTTTGAAATTCTGCGGAGGCCTAACGGCTCGTGCAGCTGCGACCAGGCGGGACGCCGCTGGTACTTGCCGGGGGTTTCTGGGATCGGCCCGCGTGGAGAAGGTCGGGGGCCTCGACGCCCGCCCGCTTGGAGCGTCCGTCATGAGGAGAAGGTGCATGTTTGTGGGGGGTGTCGAGGGGGCGCGGGAAGGAGCGACTCCCCTTCTGGGTGCGGGGCGGTGCGGGGTCCGAGGGGCCGCCCTCCACCCAGGGTCGGGGCGTCCTGACAGCCGCAACCGAGTGAGGCCGGGAGCGGCCGGGCTCCGCTGGGAAGCTGTGAGTCGGCGCGAGGGCCGCTGGCCGCTGGCGGCGGGGAAGCCAGACCTGACGCCCCCTTTCCCCGGCGGCCTCGGGCCCCCGCAAGTCCAGCCGCCCCGAGCGGCCCGAGCGCAGGTGCCCGGAATCAGCGGCGGGGTGGGGAGGTCGGGTCGGGCCCGCGGCGCCGCGGGTGCGGGGCGGTCGGAGCTGGAGTCCGAGAGCCCCACCCTCTCCGGCCGCCTAGCGTCTAAGGTGCTGCTGCTTGGCACCGACAGCTTGTTTCATGTATGTCCTGAGCTTTTTGTAGTCAGGGTTCAATAAAGCCGTAAGCTTTTAATTTAGCGTTGCATTTCAGTGTCTCTGGGTTGCAGTGTTAATATTTTACTCGAATTGGAAACATAGCTTGGTTTTCTTGCAAGTTCAGAAACTCCCAATTAAGGAATACGTGTCCGGTCGTTTCAGCAACTTTTCAGGCATTGCGGGAGAAGCGGGGTTGGGGGGTGGGGCGGGAAGGAGTGTCCGAATTGAAATTTGCGACCAGACTCATCACTCCGCCTCTTACCGGCCTTGCAACTTCGGGCAATGATGTTGAATGTCCGTTTGCTCATCTCTAAAATGAAAACAATGCCAGTGCTAGGATTCTTGTGTTAAAAGTGATATAGTTGTTAACCTTATTTTCGGAAAGTAGTGAGTGAAGCATTGTGATGATTCATTATTAAGTAATTTGTAGTTATTGGTCAAACTGGTTAATGTATGGCTTTGTAAGGTTCTTCCTTCCATGGTTACTGATTCTGACAGTTCTTTTTCATAATGCTTATCCTTGGGAGAATG